GGGAAGGATGTATCTCAGTAAGGTGCTGGTAGGGGTCTTGACCGTACTTCCGGGATTGCTCTGATAGCCGTGGGATGCCTCTCCTTCCCCAAGCAGCTCAACGTATGTTGCCCCCGTGTCGCTACATGCTAGCGGCCGTTTCCGGGGGCCCATTAATTGAGTTTGCCAGTCACCCCCTGCCTGTTTATCCGTATGTATCAATATTGGTCAGGGGCAGGGGCCATAGTATTTCCATAGTTTTCATCCACTAGTCCATAGCAACTCATACCCATAACCTTATAAATTTTTACCACATTTCGCAATAGTCCTCCATCAACCGGGGATTGTCCTTGGGTGCACTTTCATAGTGCATACAGGGATAACTGCCGGCTGATGTCCCATTTCACTTATATTAAAGTTGTTCAAAGGGCCTCTGCGAGTTGGCTTCGGCCCCTCGTACGCCTTCCAAAAGTCCGGGACCCTGTGGTCCCGTGAGTGGAAAGGAACATACAAAATAATAATCCATTTATTTGTAAGAATATTGTTACAGAGTTGTTAAATTAATCCTAAAAGTTCATAATATTCTACCGTTTCCGGCGTACAAATATAAAATACAGTGTCAGTTTAGGGAAATTATAAGAAAATGTCAATGAAATTACTTACAATAATATGTCATAGTTGATCAATTAAATACAAATGTCTGAGGCAATTAATAGTCAAAATGATTAAATACCGTGATAAAAAAAATACAAATAATAAAATTAAAAAAAAATTAAATACCATTCCATTACAATAATTCAATCAGAGTACAAATAATAAAACACAATGTCAATTTAGGGTTATTAATACAAAAAATAATTACAAAAAAAAAAAAAAATGTCATGAAAGTTTCTTGCAATAATACACATACTTGAATGATTAAAATAATACAAATAAAAAGTCAAAGGCCAAAAATTAACAAAAAATATGAAATGCCATAAAAATACAATGTCAAAATAAAATAAAAAAATAATAAGATTCAATTCAATTACAATCATTCAATCAATGGTCATCATCCAATTTAAATTTACTATTAAACGTATCATTCAAGAATTCATTCGTTGAGTAGTAACATTTGCTTAATAAGAAGTTAAATAATTTCCGTTTAAATATCATGAAGTTGAGGTCTTTAAAAGCATTAGGCAATTTATTATAAATTTGAATTGCCATACAGTAAGCATTATTTGAAAAGAGTTTAAGTCTTTGTCGGGGTGCACATAGCTTGTAAGTATTTCGACTCTTTCTTACAACGAAATCATTATGTACATGAAATAACTTTATGTTTTTATGTACAAAGATACATAGTTCAAATATATATAAAGATGGTAGGGGTAATATGTTTAACTTTTTAAAAATTGGGACACAGCTTTGTAGTGGGTGGGCTTTAGTCATTGATCGAATACATTTTTTCTGGGCTCGGAAGGCCCTAATAACATCAACTGAATTTCCCCATATAATGATACCATAGCGAAGAATCGATGATACGTAACCATGATAAGCATAAAGCGCAGCATTGATACCAGCTACGCGAGTAATTCTGTTTAAGACAAATACAAATCTTTGCAATTTGGTGCATAATTTGTCGATATGTAATTTCCAATTGCAATATTTATCTAATGTTATCCCCAAAAAAGTAGCACTTTCAACTTCTTCTATAATGTTATTTGCATAACTAATTTCTAATTGATGACTTTTACTATTGTAGGCTTGGAACTGTATTAACTTGGTTTTACTTACATGGAGATGATTGTCTTTTAGCCATTCAATTATTTTGTTTAACGTGTCATTTATCTCTTTTTCATATTTAGTGATATTGTCATCCGTGAGTTCAATACTAAGAGTTGTATCGTCAGCGTACAGAATGCAAGAGTATAGGGTTACGTTGGGCAAATCGTTGATATATAAAAGGAACAAAAATGGTCCCAATATGCTGCCCTGGGGTACTCCGCATGAGTTTTGACGATATGCGGATCTATAGATTTTCTTTTCAGATACTGTATGACTTGATATTTCTACGCATTGTTGACGATTTTTCAAATAAGATTCGATCCACTGTAATGCATTTCCCCTGATTCCATAGCGACTCAATTTAAAGAGAAGCAGTTTGTGATCTACAAAGTCAAATGCTTTTGACATGTCGAGAAAAATCGATGCTATTAAGACAGACTTAAGACATTCTTATTTTAAATTTGACTTTGTTCTTTTCCCTAATGTTTTCATTTACGTAGCTACGTAGTGTTTCACTACGGGACTGAGGGCGCCGGAAGCCCAATCCTTAAATCTTTACACCGAAGGTAGAAAAGACAAAGCTTAAAATAAAGGTTTTAGATTGTCTACTGGGTTTGCATTCGCTACCTTGAATGTAGAGGGCAGTTTTCTATAAGGATATAAGAGATTTAACACGATATAACAACTGAATTAAGCGCACAAACGCATAGCAAAGCACAGAGACGAGAGGAAAGCCTTTGAGGAGGCCTTTGTCAAATGACGAGCTGGAAATAAGAATGAAAACGGAGTGCCGAGTTAACAAATTTGTTTAATATGTAGTTTAAGATTTAAGTATTTAATAATTCTAAACTCTGTTAACCAGCAATAAAGGCTTATTTATTTATTTAAGAACTGAATTCCAATTAGTATATTTTAAAATAACTCAAAAGAACAATATTTTTTTGTCGGTATAAGAATAATTTTATTCGAAGAGAATGAAGGTAGAGGTAAACTTAGGTTTTAGTCTTTAAGAGTATGACACCGGCCGCGTGGCCTCAGCCAGGGCGGAAGAAGTCATCTGATCATTTTGCGCCCTCAAAAAAGTAGGTTAGGTACACAAAAAAAACATAAATTTTAAACGACTCATTCTGATTTGGCAGGACAAAAGTCTAGTTGTGTAGATGGCGCTAAGGTCGAATTTGGTAAGCGTTTGTTGGCTACATCTTTATATATGTAAGTATATAATACTGCTCTACGTTTGTAGGTTTTCGTTTCTGCCGGGATTTCTATATAGAAGCCCGGCGGAAGGCGCCTTACGATTTCGCTGAAATTTGATATTGTGGGAGTTGCATACAATATCCAAAAATTTAGTGTATCGACAGATCGACGAAAAAAAGTAGTTACTCATAGGTAATATTTTATTGTTTTGAAACGTGGAATCAATTAATTTTTTAACCAGGATAGGTACTATCCAATTATGTCGGTTGTACAACATAACCCTACTTTTTACCATTTACATCACAAATAACAACTTCTTTGTCAGCATACTTAAGTAAGTTTACAACTATAAAATTTCCTCAAACGAGTTTTAGAACTCGTGAATCATTTTATCGTTATCCAACAATAATTCCGTGTCTATTATAAATTATTTTTAGTGACGACTTTAAACCTCTTTGGTTATTTTTGAATTGGTTTTCCTACTCAAAAGCTGTTATCTATATCCTCATAAAATAAAATTGCGTCTGTTGTTGTTCTAAGGACAAAAGGATTTATGGAAAAGATTATACTGACAGTGTAGCATTACAATTTATAACGTTCTGTCTGAGTTCCTAATGCCCGGTTCCTATATTTAACGAATCGTCGTTGTATACGCATTACGACCAAATGACATTACGAATAGTTATCTTGACCGTCTACTGACGGTTAAAATATTTATAGGAAAACCACAGACACCATAGATCTCCATACAATTCGCTTACCGATATCCGTTAGTTGCAAACCATCAGTAAGTTGCACGACGAGACGTTTATTATAGGAAAGGTTTTAGCTTACGAGTCGTATATAAAACTACTATTCGTAATTAAAACGGATCGTTTCTCAATTATAGGAACCGGGCGTAAAACGAATGTATTTGTGTTCGAAGGCTATTTGAATGCGTGTCATATTTTGAGTTTTCGTGTTATACAAAATCTATACTAATATTATAAAGAGGTAAAATTTGTAAGTTTGTATGTATGGGGTAATCTTTGGAACCACTGGTCGTATTGCCAAAATTCTTTCACTGATAGATAGCTACAACGTTCCTGAGTGCTATAGGCTATAAAACTTCAAACTACGATCAAATAGAGCCGAGCAGCGGGTTAAACCGCGCGAGAGAAGCTAGTTTAAAATAAAAAGCTTTTTTACAAAAGCATCCTTTATATGGCACAATACTCTGGGTATTAATCATATCAGATCAGTCAATTGCGAGATAGTTGCAGACAAACACAAGAACATACATCAAATATAGGTGTAGGTATATGTATAACGGTTAACAATAGACATGAAAAAAACCAGAAAGTACTAAAACACAAACACTAAAATTACTAGGTATAATATAAATTTAAAATTTAAAAAACCCCCGACACAAGAAACATAAGCTTAAGCTACCTTTAAAAAGTATTTTTTTTGTAATGTACACGTATTGCGCTTTCATTTGAGACCCCACTGGACCATATTTATGAACTTCCCCACTTTCACGCCCCAAAAATTTTATACATCATCATCAGCCTATAAGTGCCCACTGCTGAGCAAAGGCATCTTCTCATACGGAGAAGGTTAAAGCATAAATCACCACGCTTGCTCAATGCGGGTTGTCGATTTCAAACTTATAATTAGAAATTATAAGTCCAGGTTTCCTCACGATGTTTACCTTCACCGTATGTCAGTGGTGTCTAAATAATCATAGAAGGAACATATAACTCGGAAAAAGTCACATTGGTACATGCAAGGTTTCGAACTTGTTTCGAACCTACACCCTCATGCATGAGAAGCGGGCTGCTTAACCTCCGAGCCACCACGACATAATTACGACATATTAATTATAATAAAAAATTTATACGGCTCAAATGATTATCAAACATGTCTATGAACACTCGCACGTAAGTATGTAATCTTTGTTAGGAAAAAAAACTTAATTGAGTTAAAAATAAACAAACTCAAGAAAACAACATTATTACAACCTACAATTTTTTTAAAGCCCTTTTTGAAAGCAGCCCTCTTATTTTCTGTTACAGAATTACGTAGGCCGTTTAGAAGCACAAGACAGCAACCACCTTCTTCAGAGGTACAATAGAGGGGAGCCTGTCAGTTACATTGTGCATTTTCCTGTCACCTCTCCTCTGCCGAAGCTGACAGCACTCACAGTCAATGGCGACACTATTTGCTACGGACATGGAGGTGAGTTTCTCTTCAATCATCATCACCATCATCATCATTGTCATCAACAGCTAAAGATAATTCTTTCCTGCAATAAAACCTTGCTTAAAATAAGACGGTCTGCCATATTATCCTGCAAAACTAAGGCCTTAGGGTCGCTCGCTGCCCAGAGCAGGAGAAGGCCCAGAGCAGAACGGAACAGGTGGGTTTTTAGTCAGTAAGAGTCTGACACTCCCTCTCAACTCTTCCTGGGCGAGAGAAGTCATTTGATAATTTTGCCCTCACAAAAAAGGCCTCTGTAACGCACAGTCAGTACGTTCCGCGGCGTATCGTGCAATCAGTCGTACATTGCGACGCGGTCTGTTCCTACAATGTATGACGAACGCAGAAGACCAGATAAATTTGAATATAGAACGTAATTTATATAAACTATTTGAATATAGAATTTATATGAACTATACGTGTCACATAAGTGTGGGAGAGCCATGCCTCGGCACGAATGGGTCGGCTCGACCGGAGTGATACCACGGCCTCACAGAAAACCGGCGTGAAATAACCACAGCGTTGTGTTTCGCCGTGTGAGTGAGGTTACCGGAGGCCCAATCCTTCCCCTCCCCCAATCCCTAAATCTCCAAATCCCTAATCCCTAAAAGGTCGGCAACGCACAACGTAACTCCTCCGTTGCGAGTGTCCATGGGCGGCGCTGATTGCTTACCATCAGGTAATCCGTCAGCTCGTTTGCCGACCTATGTATTATATAAAAAAAACATACGTTTATTGGGATTTATTGGGATGCTTTTTAATGGAAGTGTAACAGGCCCATAGTCCCATAAGGTACTTAGTTTCTTTCTGAGGCACCGACTTGGAGCAGGAGAAGGAACTGGTTGGTTTTTAGCCAGTATGATTTTGGCACTCCCTGTCGCCACACCCGGAGCAGGAGAAGTGGTGAATGACTTTGCCCTCTCTAAAATATCATATTCTTTTCTACAGTTACGAAACGCTTGCTTTCTCTTTTATGTAGTGAGAAATGAGGGTTTTTTTAACTAGGTAATGACAATGTATCTTTATTTCTAAATAATCATAGAAAGTACATATATAACTAGGAAAATGACAAAATGTTACTTGCCAGGTTTCGAACCCGCAACCGCATGAGAAACCTTTAGCTCCGGTACATCGCGACGATTTATACTGTGTTTAGTTAGATATATTTTAATGTAGATAACTAAAATGCCTATCTATTGTTGTGTAAGGAGATTTGACGACAATTTCGCTAAACATTTTCCTCCATTCGTTCCACTTAATGGAATCGGCACACAGATTTAACCTGGCCAAGCCACGCATGGGTCTTTCCACATTCTAAAATAAATTATAGCCACCATACACATTGTACTTGTCATTGTAATATGTCATGTTTATCTAGATATAAAAAAACATAATGCAATCAGACATAAACTTAATAAGTATAATGTTTTTAAATTAATAAATAGTTAAGTGTGGAAGAGCCATGCTTCCAGAGTGATACCACAGCCTTACAGAAATCGGCGTGTAGCAATCAAAGCGTTGTGTTTCGCCGCATTTAAGGTTACCGGATGCCCAATACTTCCCGTCCCCCAATTCCTAAATTGCCGAATCCCTAATCCCCAAAAGGTCGGCAACGCATTCGTTACTTCTCCATTGTTTCGGCTATCCATGGGAGGCGCTGATTGCTTACCATCAGGTAATCCGACTGCTCGTTTGCCGAACTATCACGCACAATTACTGCAAGCAAAGCAAACATGTATTTTTCACACTAAAGCTTAAATGGGTCTTATACTGCACAAACAGGAATTCTATCACCAGCACAAATAGGTACAAGTGATCTCTTAACCATCAATCTTAACTCCAGAACCTCTAATTTCCAGATGTACCCAGACCAAACACATACGTGACGACCCTAAGTCTCCAGCACACATCCTTCCTCCAAGGAGGTGGTCCTGTATATAACAGTATACAGCCACAGCAACAAAGGCCGCAGCAGCGCCCACCGCCTCCGCAGCCAACAGTAGACCAAATCTTCTTCGGAGACGACGATGCCACTGCTCATATTTATACTTTCAACAATGTTGAGCCGTCTTGGAATAATGGTAAGAACAAGAATATTTTGTTTCTTGTCCAATCCTAGTATCTTACTATCCTGTTATCCTACTATTCTACTATCCTACTATCCTGCTATCCTACTAATATTATAAATGTGAAAGTTTGTGAGATTGTATGGCTATATGTATGTATATGTTTGTTATTCTTTTACGCAAAAACGGCTGGATTGATTTGGTTGTAATTTGGTATGTAGATAGACGATAGGCTGGATTAAAACATAGGCTTTTAGCAACATATCACGCTGAAGCTTCTGGTGAAAGCTAGTTTATTATAAATTCTCATTTTAGGTTTAACTGATTTGCAGGGGGCGTTGCGAAAGGTAGATTTGTTATCCTGCAATGAGACCTCTTTTGGAACTAGATTTTCTATTCATATATTAACCAAAACTACTCTCAATTCCAGGCAATTCCCCATACTACGTGGTAAACAACACTCGTCCGTTCACGCAAGCCACCCAGCAGTACCAGCCCCCCACCCAGCAGATTTTCCAATCAAAACCAGTCTACGAATATGACCAGAATGGACCACTGCAGGTCACTTCTAGAAAGCCTGTGACTTACAGGCCTAACCCGCCTGTTTTCGAGCAGGCCACGAAAAGGCCAATATACACACCTCCTCCATCAAGCCCTAACCGCAATGACTTCTATTACCCTACTCCTGAGCCGACACAACCAGCGGTAACAAAGTAAGGATTTTTTCTTTTTTTACAGCGTTAATATGGATATTAGACATTAAAACTACCGTGCCTTTATTTTTATTTAAGTTTATTCATAAATAACCATAGTTTGTTGTAGAACGACAATGTACGACGTACTAAATTTAATACTACTTGACTCGAAACTTGTTAATATGGCGCCAAAGCGGGAGTTTGCGCCATTTTAAATAAGTTTCGCGCGCTCTCTAGCGGCGCGGTGAGCTACTACTGCAGTAGAGTTGCCCTACGCTATACAAAAAAAACTTTAATCCCCTCTTAATATTTTCTGATTTTTTTCGATGATGTCGGAATTCAAGAAATTTATTTATGTCCCTGGGACGGGCCGGAATTCATTATTTCGGTGTTATCATGGTTGTATCTACTATTATGGAGAGTTTTGGCGGGCTTGTACCATAAAAATATATATAGGAAAGAGACTTGTTGTGTGTAGGTGGATATTTGCACCATAAAGGGCACGAGCCAGTAGGAACAACATATAAAGGACGTGACAATGGACTTATAATCTTCTCTGAACAAATGTCAATTTTAATTGTTGCCTATTTATTTCTGTCAAAAAGACAAGTAAAGAACTTAAGAATTAATAAGAATAATTTTTATATTCCAGTGACGAACGTTACAGTGTTCCAACCACACCTGAATGTGGTGAGGTCGCGGGAGGTAACGAGAGAGTTCCTCTCATCTACAATGGGAGGTCTTATGCGAGAGGCGACATTCCCTGGCTTGTGGCCATCTACAAGAGTGAAGCAGCCAATCTGCAGTTTATCTGCGGAGGAACCCTGGTTTCTGATCGACATATTGTTACAGGTGAGTGAGATGAGTTTACCTTTATAATATATAATTTATGATGGTCGTCATCCTCATCATCATAATTAGCCTGTAGTTGGGCCTCTGCTAAAAAAGGTCTCTTCTAACACGGAGAAGGAATGAGCTTAAATCACCAAGATTAAACCAATTGCTTTTAGTCTATAGTCCGTACATACATATATCAAGGTCTGAAAACTTAAACCTTTTTGGCCTTATTACAAAACACGGTTCTTCTGTAGTCTAGTTCAGACAGTTTTTGACTGACTGACTCAATGGTAAACGTAGACAAATGGAAAATTAAATTTTGTTATAATGAGGTCGATGGCCATGGTCAGCTTTATAGACGACAAACGCAAAGTAGTCTAAATTCGCCAATGTCCAACATAGGCGACCAAAAAACATCATACATAAGTACATTTTTTTGTCGTCTTGAGCCTAACTAACCTTTCAATGGAGGATGAGAAACGTTCCACCCTGATTCTCATACCTCTAAACTGGTGACCCCGACGTGATTATCAGCATACCTCTAAAGTGGCAATAAATGTAAAGGTAAGTACCTTTGTTAAAAAAAGAGTTAAGAGGAACAACAAATAGTGGAGAAATTAAGTAAGGTGCAAGGCCGGGGCGGGTCGCTAATGTAGTTACAAAGTGCAATAATATCGAGTCCATAGTTTCGAAGGCGTAGCTCCAAAACAAAATATCGTGTTATATTTCCAGCTGCTCACTGCATGCAGCGTCGTGGCGTTCAGACAAACATCAAGGACATTGTCGTCAAGATCGGCGTCCACAATCTGAATGACTGGAGTGACGATATCACTGTCACCAGGTCCCTGATGGCTGCTTCCATCCACGAGTCATTCAATCCAGCGACACTACAGAGTGAGTATCGTTTGGATAGGACTTCTTTAAAAGCTGAGAATATTTTTATTTCAAAAAGATTGCCTTTAATTGCCCTGGAAATACCTAAATATTTTCTTGTAGTCTAATGGATGCAAAAGATTACCTATTTTAGTAAAAACTTTTTTTAATGTGGCCCCATTCAAGTGTATTTTTCTGCATGCATCGTGGATTACAAACACACAATTTTATACACAACTTTGAACTTTGTTCCGTGCGGGTAACGAATCCGCAACACGTTGCACGGTAGCCGGTTGCCCAGCGCAGTTGACGAACTGCCATGTTATATTCAAAGAGTCCTTGTGAAAACTATTTTCCTTGTTACATTTATAAGTATAGTACTAGTTGACACGGCAAACTTCGTACTTATTGCCTCAAATATCACTAATGTTCTGACTTTTTAAACCTTTCCTAGACACGAACATTTTAAGACTAATATTATCCAAAACGAAACAGCCGTTCTCGAGTTATAGCGAGACTTACGGAGAGCAATTCATTGTTATATTATTATATAAGATATACTAAGATTAATGTTGAATCCAATCCTTGCAGATGACATCCTAATGTTTACACTGAACAAACGGGTAAAGTTCAACACGTACATACGTCCGGCATGTCTGTGGGGTGATGATACCGACCAATCACGTATCGTTGGCGCTTCTGGAGTTGTAAGTACCTTTCTTTCATTCACATTTTCTAAGATATGAGTTGAAAATTGGATAAGGAAATTTGACAGAAAGTTGCCTTGTTGGATTTTGAATTGTTAATGACTATTCTCATGCGTTTTCACCCGCTGCTCGGCTCCTATAGATCGTAGCGTGATGTTTTATAACCGCAGCACACAGGAACGTTGTAGCTACCTATCAGAAAAAAAATTTTGCAAATCCGACCAGTGGTTCCAAATGTTACCTCCTACATACAAACTTAAAAATTGTACCTCTTTATAATATTAAGTACTATTAATACCTAGATAGAGAAAACCTGACAAAAATTCTGAAGAGTTTTTACAAAGACTATATATGTTTGCATAGGTGGCTGGGTGGGGAGACCAAGGGGTTGGAGGTATAGGCAAGCAAGGCGAGCCTCACATGGTGCGGATCCCCATCGTCAGCACTACCGACTGCCGCGCCAGCAAACCTCACTTCCACAAGCTTACCTATGATAGCACACTCTGCGCAGGTATGTTGCCGCTGTTCAATAGAAAAGTCCTTAAAAATAATTTCAAATATACATATTATAACTGGCTGAAAACTGTCATTAATAAGAGTCCCGGAGTGACTTGAAATCAGACGAGCATTTCTCGAATAGTTTAGAAGATTAAGCTGTTTATGTCAGTTAAGTAATTGTATTGTCTGTAAGTATTTAATACATCTTTCGCCTGACAAAATGTTAATGGTTATTAACTCTATTGCCCGTTTGATTAATTTTTTGAAAATAAAATATAGAATCTATTAATATGTAACTTGCCTCTCTGCGAATAATAAGCAAACTATTCACAACTAAATACTGACTTTTATTCATCAGGTGATCGTAACGGCGCTGGGCCTTGTGTGGGAGACTCCGGAGGAGGTTTGTACCTCCTTGAAGGAGGGAAGTGGAGGCTCCGAGGAGTGGTCTCCGTGTCACTACGAGCTGAGAACGGCGACAACACTTGCAACCTGAACGAGTACATTATCTTCACAGATACAGCGAAATATTTAGACTGGATCAAACGCATTTTGTCAGAAAAATATTACGATTAATTTTAATTTTTATTTGATGTATTTAAGACTGGATCCTTTTTGGAATAAAACATAAAATTTGTATATTGTCAGAGTGGCTAGAGCGAATATTTTTACATAAACGAGATCAAAACGTCACAGCGTTTCGCCCTCTTATTGGTTGGTTGATTTATAACAGGCCAATCAGAGCTCCGAACGTCACAAACGTGCTGATCGAACAAACGTAAAATTAACTCTCATTGGGCATTCTGTTCAAATCACGCGTATAAAGATGAAAGGTTAAAAGTACAAAATATGACAACATTGGCATTGTTTATTCAGGATGGACTTTTAAGAGTTGCCAACAACTTACCACTTAAACAACCATAGCAAGATTTAGGTAAACCTCGTTGACTTGTATTATGTTTAAATACTTTTTATCCTAAATACTCAAAAATGGTTTTAATTATTGTATCTTACGCATGTACTTTTACTGTGTTAGTGAATAAACGAAACTATTTAATTAATTTTGTAATAAAAATAATGTAACTGACCATATCGTATTGAAATAAAAGGCATAGGTCCAATGAATAAAGTTAAATATTATAATTTAGTTTTAAGACAGTATTTTTATATAATAATATTTAGTAGACTTCATATCATTGAAAACACCATAACTTAAATAATTTTAAGCCAGTCTTTTTATTATTTAAAAATGCCGTAGCAATTAATAAAACCTTTTTGTCATTACTTGTTTAAAAAAATAAAATATATCTAAAACTAAATTTTAACTTAGTTTTTTTAAATGATACAGTTACATTTACCTGTTTTATGCATTTTGCCAGCACAGCAGCCATATTTAAATCGTTAAATATATTATTATACTCAAATTCATAGGAAAATATAATTATACTAGAAAATAAGTTGATTGTAATGTATGTCTGTCTGACTCGCCATTAAATAAATTATATTATTTTCTTTGCATTTGTTTATTTTTAATCAGGTGATGAACTTTTGCGTTACTTTCTTCAATAGAAAGGCAAGCGCAAGTTCTTTCTGACTTTATCTATTATCGTACCTCTCAGAAAACATTGTACTGTTTTTTAAACGCTGGAACCGCAGAGCGATTTCAATTGCTTACCATGTTACGTCGTCTGCTGATTTGGTGACAAACCAATGAAACGTAGATTATGAGGATTTTGCATTTAAATTGAATTCATTGCAACTACGCCTCTTTAATGGATTTATTGTTCTTTTTAACTGATTGGACTAACTACTGTCTACATTCTACGGATTTCTGTGAACTCGGTTATTCTATTCATCTTATTCCCAGAAAAAGAAATATTGTACGAAGTTTATTCTTTGCATTTGAGTGAGATTGGGAGAGCCATACCTCGGCAACAAATGGGTCGGCTCGACCGGTTTGATACCACAGCCACACAAAACACCTGAAGCAACATTTACGTTGTTTTTCGTCGTGTGAATTAGGTTACTGGAGGTCCATTCTTTGCCCATCTAAGGCTAATGAGGGTGGGGCCCTCAATCCTCAAATCGCCTATCCATAAATGCCAAACAACCCACAAGCGGCCGGCCACAAAGGTAGAGACTCCTTTTGTACTACGAGTGTCCATGGACAGCGCTGATTATTTACCATCAGGTAATCTCTATGACGTAAAAAAGTTCATATATCAAGTATTTTTCAAAGTTGCCAGGAAAAAACGTTGATTGTAAAGGATACAATTTAAGAACGAAGTATCAAACGTCAGTAAATTAATGTCAAATTTAAATCTGTCAAGTTGCGCGCCAAACTGCCAAACAGATGTTTTAGTTGTTTTTTGTTTATATAGATAAAATTATGAATGAAATATAATACACACAGTGAAGATGACTTGGAATAAGTTATTATGCAACATTCGGGAGCTACAATTGGTGGGTACTTTGTCTGGAGGTCAAAGTTTTAGGTGAGTATCGACACTTTATAAAATCAATTAAGATGTTCTGCATAATATTCAGCTTCAGCGTGGTATTTTTATATTAATTCATTAGAATCATTATTTGCTAGCCGAATAAAATGTATATTTAATTTGAATAATAAAAGTAAACCTTACGAACCAGCTTTTATTTCACAATTTGATATAACCAAAACATATTTTTTCCATTAGGTGGAAACAAAACATAGATAGCAACGAATGGATCGGCGTGTTCTCAAAAACTGTTTGGAAATTACGGGAAAGTGATGACCACCTACAGTACCAAGTCTTAGGCTCTTTACACAATACAAAAAAAGAACAGATAAAAAATAATAAAAAGAGCAAAAAGGATGTAGACTTTGATAAACTCCTTGAAGACTATTTTAGGCTGGATACGAATTTAGGACAATATTATAAGGAATGGTCAGAAAAGGATGCTTTGTTTGAGAAGGCCTGCCAACAGTTCTATGGGATCAGAATGCTGCGACAAGAGCCAGTGGAGAATTTATTCTCATTTATTTGTAGTCAAAACAATCACATATCAAGGTAAATTGTTAAGCTATTTACTGTCATATGCCATTGTAATAGAATCAATTTTAATACTAACAGCCTTGTTCCAGAATATCGACAATGGTAGAAAAGTTATGTAGTCATTATGGAGAGAAAATTTGTGAATATGAAGGTGACACATACTATGCTTTTCCGGAGGTTGAGAAACTAGCATTGCCAGAGGTAAGAAAACAAATCATGTTTTTTTTTCAAATTTACCTCTTATCCAGATGTTTTTTGTACACACCCAGAATTGAGAATTGTTCTATTATTTGTATATTTATATTGGGACACTGGCATTTTGTGCAGTGCACTAACCATGCAATTAATCAAAGACCTAACAAAGCCTTACCTACTCTTAAGGAAGGTCATTTTCTAGCATTTCTAGCTCTAACACTAAGCCCAAATTTCAGGTGGAATCAGAGCTCCGTAACTTAGGTTTTGGCTACAGAGCCAAGTTCATCCAGAAGTCAGCTGCCCAGATAGTAGAGTGGGGTGGTGTAGAATGGTTCAAATCTTTACAAGACATGAAGTATAAGGATGCTAAGGTGGAACTTATGAAACTACATGGTATTGGACCTAAGGTAAATTTTTCTTTATTTTGTGAAGGGGTTTTGGGGAAGTTAGGAATTAGGGAGGAGATGGAGAAGAATATATATGTCACTGGTCCCTCACATGAAGAAAATTAACACTGTGATTGTTTCACGCCAGTTTTCGTTGAGGCCGAGTTGTCATTCCGGTCAAGATGACTCATTTGTGCCGAAGTATGACTGTCCCACACTTAATTTCTCAATCAAATTGCTTTTTATTCATTTTTTATATTATGAGTTATGGTCGGTGGGATAGGTAATAAAGTTATTTTTATTGTGAGAATCATTTCTACATTGGATTTTCACCTTTATACTAAAACAATAAGTGTAAATAAATCTTATGTTGCTCAATTACTGTAATCCTCAGGTAGCTGACTGCATATGCCTGATGTCCTTAAACCACCTGGAAGCCTTGCCCGTAGACACTCATGTATATCAAATCGCCGCACAGAACTACCTCCCGCATTTGAAAGGGAAGAAAAGTGTCACAGAAAAAATGTACACAGAAATCGGAGACCATTTCAGAAGTTTGTATGGAGATATGGCGGGATGGGCACATACTGTAAGTTTTGTTGCAGTATTAAAGTTTTTGATGTTATCAAAAATGATATGGTCAGTTTGGAGATTATATAATATAGACACACAACACACTATTTCCTAATTTAAGCTCATTTGTGTATTTGTGATTTATTCTAAAACTTAGAGCTTGGACCTTATACATGGTCCAGAAACTTAATTAAGCAGGTTTGTTTTCAAATGGGTAATGAGGCGGGAATATGCAATGTTAAGTTCCAAACAAAAATAAAATAGCGAATAAATGTTCGATTGAAGTTATTTCGAAAATGTCCTTACTTATAAAAAGATATAACAATCTGGAAGTTTTCATGAGCCTTCACTTGTTCCAAACCCTTGCCGCGGAAAAACGCTCTTTAAATACATATATCATCTTACTAGCTTCCGCACGCGGCTTCGACCTCGTGCAAATCGGTCCAGCCGTTTTTGCGTGAAAGAATAACAAACATACATCCATACATTCTACATTCACATTTATAATATTATATAGTAGGATACCGTGACAACCTAGTATATATAAATAATATCCAATAATAAACATTATTCCTTTGTTTTAAGGTCCTATTTTGCGCAGACTTAAAGAAATTCCAACAGACGGACGACGACAGTGCTACATCAAAACCTAAAAAGAAAAGGAAGAAATTGTGATATTATAAAGTAAAATAATAAAACAATACAATCTTTGATCGAATCTCTTTTATTTACTAAAGCAATTTATTTGTGATTAAATATAATATAAAAGTATAAAAAATGAATACATTTTATTCCGAGGTCCTTTTTCTATGTACGTTGAGATTTTCAAATTTGGTCCAACATATGTTAGTTATAAACAAAATAATTATCACGTTATAATTCTGCAATGAATTAAGGCAAGTATGAAGGTCGAATTAAATTTTTAAGTATTCTTAAATAATAAAAACTTTTAACCAAAAATAAAATGTAGGTTGGTAATTTGCCATATGTGTTCCTTCCGGAAACTTCGATATAAAAACAAATATTAAATCAGTCAATTGGTATGTTACACAACATAATATAATTTAAAACTGACAAGAACTTGTCTATGTAAGATGAAAAAAAAAGTTTTTCAATACTGAACATAGACTATTTAGTAATGTAAGATACTGGAAGTAAATCCCTATTTCATTTTCTTATGCCATAAAATATTTTTCTTGTTTTTCAACTACTTATATCATATTCTCGACAATATTGACTTGGCTAAGGCACTGCCATGCCTCCAGATTATGAAACAATAAAAAACTTAAAACTAAATGCCTATAATTTTACAATACTTCTTCAAAATCATTTAAGAAATTTAGGTGTATAAATCTAATAATAAACATAGGTAGGTACTTCGTAATCTAAAAAATACAATCTAAGTTAGGACCTCATATTTAAAATACGTTTTGGTTATAAAAAAAAAACTTAAAAATAAACTACACAACCTGGAATGGTAGAAAAAAAGATATTCTTTTTGAAAGACCAAAGTTCCAATTATCACATGGTTTTATATAAAAGATAAATAATATATGTATACCTTTATATAAGTAGATATTGCACTTACAAATAACTTACGAAACTAATTTGTGAGATTAATTTTTAATGAGTTTTGTGCCTCATTTTGAGTCTTTATTTTTAAGTAAATGCTTGCATTTTTTATAGTAGTTTTTACACAGACGATGTGTAGAACATTTGGTACTTTGATTTATAAAAAAAAAATGCAAATTGGGTCATGTACTTTTCGTTAGGATATGAGGCGTTTGCCTCATGGCGATGATGAGAAGGTATAAAAATTGTATACTACTCTGAATAATCAGTCAGTTAGATGCCGGGTGAGTTCAGGTTATTTAGCACTGCAGGATTACTTTGACCTAAACTTCCAAAACAATGAAAGAGTACTTAACACGTTTTGTTCTGGATTATTATTAAGTTAAGGGGTTCGCATCAAAGTTACCTCTTCGGATAAAAGTAACCCGAACTTACGGTACCTAGTGTAAAATATTAGAGACGATTTTCTTAATTTGTAGGGTAAAAAAAGCGGTTGAGTCAGTCGATCATTCTTATCCCTGGGACGCGCTGGCTTCCAATCTTTTTTATGGTTGTTTCTATGTACTGTAGATCCTGGCTTACAGTTGCATTAAGAAATTCCAGTATTTTCAAAGATGGAATTATTTTTATTAGGTATAAAGGTTAGGAACAAAATACATGGTTAGTATTTGCAGTAGGCTACATTGATATCCTAGTTACTCTTATTGTACTACAAATAATAAGGTTGTATATAAAAAATCAGTCTACATGGTAGCACGAACTGTTAGAACTACGTTTCGAATGTAACTACAAAATGCTTATTCACATTATCATCAGCCTATAAGTAAGTGCCCACTGTTTTGCAAAGGCTTCTTCTCACACGGAGAAGGTGGACGAGGCGGATTGGCGATTTCAAAATTATAATTAGTAATTATAAGCCCAGGTTTCCTCACGATATTTTATATTGTAACTAATCATAGAATGTTCTTACAGATAACTCGGAAAAGTCACATTGGTACCGGTATTTGCTACAGTTCATTCCATAATTAGAGACAACAATTTGACAACTGCAAATGTCAACTTTAAAATAATGTGGCCAGATTTTTTAACATAGTGATGGACCCGAGTACGATATTTTAAAATACCGATACCGTTTTATTATAAATTACCCTGAGCAAAACAAAAAAAAGTTGCGGTGATGTTTTTATAGTGTAATTGTACCTAGTTATTAATATATGAAGCTAAAAAAGGACTTGAAGATTATCACAAATAAATGAACTCGGAGCAATATGAAGAGATCAGAGATCGGATGGGAGCGATATTACAATCTGACTGACAGACATTATTTTTACAATTATAGAAACCAATACCAACGGTATTTCTAGGCTAAAATTATGTTTGACATTCCATCTGTCGAATTGCTGTGAGGAAATGCCAAAGCTGACCATAGTTTCTTGTAAAATAATTATATCATATCAATGCTAATCTTATATATAAAAATGGATCGCAAAATGTGTTGGTAAGCGCATAACTCAATAACGCCTGGACCAATTTTGCTAATTCTTTTTTTGTTGTGTTTGTTATTGTCAGGAGAAAGTTCTTATCAAAGAAAATATTAGAAAAGTCGGAAAAAGTGACTCTTTGATAGCGAGATAGTTGGACCCGTGCGAACCGGGGCGGGCCGCTAGTAGTTAATAGTTTTACAAATGATTTTCGGTCTTTCGGTTAATACTGGTCGCGGGTCTTCAATGTTTATGAAATGGAAAAAACATGCAACACTCGAAATGTCAAATCGTTGTCTCTAATTATGGAACGAACTATAGTCACGTTTCTTAAGCACGAGAAGCTTTAAAATGGGCAAAATTCATGATGAATCTCAATTTAACATATCTGAATTGTTTTTTAGCCGTTTGGAATGACTTGCCACTTTATACTGTAAAGGCGACTGTCACAGAAAACCGGCATGGAACATCGCTTAAGTTTTTTCTCCTTGTGAGTGAAGTTACGCCATCCCAAATCTTCAAATTTCTTAAAACTGAAGCTCCTTTGGTGCTGCTAGTGTCCGTGGGTGGCGTCGATTGCTTACCATTAGATTAACTGTATGTTATTGAAAAAATATTTTTTTATACTTTTCTTTGTTGAAATTGAAATAACTAATCAATCTTATATTAAGAGACTAAAAGACGATAACCTCTGTTGATATTGAAAGATATGTAACTCAATTTTTTTGTTTGTATATGTTCATCTTAAGATAATAGTTTTTAATCTTGAGAGACATAATCAATTATTTACGGCTTACTCACGTAACTATTCAGCGAAATAACCCGACTACTTTCAAGTTACAACAGGGCCCATATTCATGACGTCGTGTCATGAATATGGGCCGTTGCGTCAGGCGTTGCTTAGTAAGTAAGAAATTTTCGATTTTGCGTGACTTGCGTGCGTGCTGTTCTTGAATATAGGTCCCGGTGTGGATTGAAGTAATCGAGCTAGCTCGTCGAACTTGAGTATATCATAAAACGATATAAAATCATTTTTTTTAGTTTAATAATCACTTGTTACCGTAATATATTTGTGGACAGTGTTCTATTAAGATTTGTAGAGCGCGGATCTCGAACGCTAAGTCTGTGATGGCGGGCGGTGTGGCCACCAGTGTAGGGGCGAATACTGTGCTCAGGTTGTGGGCACTCATTTTGTTCACGTCCGCTAGTTGGGATACTCTGGAAAACAGGTATTAAAGACATACTAAATTAACTAAAAATAGCGGGTTACTCACGTGTAAATATTGAGAAAAGCTCTACTAGTTTCGAACCACAGAGGGGACTCGCCGCAGTGCAACCATCAACAGCGATGCAGGCGCCAACGCTAACCAGTAGGCTGCGCGACGTCGCCGCGTCCGCGCACGCTGCTCATGAGGAAGAACCCCTCTGTGGTTCGAAACTAGTAGAGCTTTTCTCAACATTTACACGTGAGTAACCCGCGAATTTTAGTTAATTAGGTATTAAAGAGTTTCAAATAATTTTAATAACTTATTATAACATTTTATACATAGTAATAGCGATTCGTCCTGGCTTGGTGCCTGTGCAATGCAGATTGCTTTCTCACAATTTCTTGAATGTCAATTTTAGCGGTATTAAATCCACCTTTGTATATCACTACACAGTATAAACAGAGTCGCTTTCTCTGTCCCTATTTCCGTATGTATGCTTAAACCTTTAAAACTACACAACGGATTTTGATGCGGTTTTTAATAATTGGGTGATTAAAAGGGAAGGTTTGTATGTAGGTATAATTACATCAATTGGGTAGTTATCCAGGTCAAAAATAAATTAATTCGACGTTTCAATACAATAAAATATTGAAAAATAACTATACTTTTATTCATCGATCGATCGGTACACTAAGTTTTAGATATTTTATAGCTAATAATTAAGAAATAAGTAAACTATTTGACACAAAAATACTATGACGTCATAACGTTTTTGACATTTGGATAAAAGTATTGAATTTGACTAGTTGGAAACTACCGTATTATTAGCTTTTCGTGGTAATTCGAGGCACAATATCTAGTAAGACAATAGGTGAGCGAACGCCGGTGTTCGCTTGGGGTTTAATGATTTAAATAGTCAAGAAATTTAGTATCAGCATACCACCCGTGCGAAGCCGGGGCGGGTTGCTAGTGATGAATAATAATTTTACCTGTGTAAATGTTGGACCATGTACTGCAGACAGTTGAAATGTGCGGGCGGGAGGGAGTCCAAACACTCCCGGAGGGAGGTAATCTGCTGCGCTTGCGTTTTCATCTCTGAAATAACATTTTGATTTTTATGGGGTATAGGCGTGTTTATAAACACTATTTCCCATACACATCACGACTAGATCCGGAACAACAATTTGTGGATCACATAAGGAAGGAGTTGTTTCGCGAACAGTATTCCCTTGACCTTATTTTGAAGGAGTTAAAATCATCAAACGACTACTCTTGCCGTAGGTGACGCAAAAGGGAGTGTCAGACACTTACTGACTAAAAACCACCCCTTTCTTCTGCTCAGGGCCGAGGTCGCGGTACCTTATTGCGCTTACACTCCCAACCCCGCTCACAAACGTGCATAAAAAGCTTAAAAGGATAAGCATATTTTAAAAAACAAGTATGCGAGAGCAATGCGCGTCTGGCGCGGTGGATGGGCAACTGGCTGGCAAGTCGTGTGATGTATAAATTGTTGTTCCGGGTCTGGGTGTGATGTGCATGTGAATTTGTATGTTTGTAAACGCACCCACGACACAGGAGAAAACCCTAGTGAGGGCAACGTTTAAAAAAAATTCTTCGATACGAATGGGCCAGCTCAACCGAAGTGATGTGACCACGGCATTACAGAAAACTGGCATGAAGCAATACTTACGTTGTGTTTCGCGATAAGATTGAGCTTGCCCCATCCTCAAATCCCCTATCCGTTAACCCTGAACAACCCACTTGTAGTAACTCCTTTGGCATTATGAGTGACCATGGACGGCGCTGATTGCTTACCATGAGGTAAACCGTCACCACATTTGACAAAAAAAATCTTAAACATACAATACTTACGTATAGCTTGAACAAGTTTGGGATGCACTTCATACGTGATTAACGGTACAGGCAGAAGTCGTAGGTAGAGCTTTAATGTACCAGCTACCACGTTGATGTTACTGTACACACTTAAATCTGCTGCCTCGCCATCTGAAAGCATTTTGAAGAGATATAGAGGGTCGCCAAACGAGCTTACTGATAAAACTTATCGTAAGGGATTAGTGTTGCACAGAGTATGTAATCCTAATCCTCAAATCAATGATGTCTATAGGCGATGTCAATTGTTTACCATCAGGTGATAATGTAAGCTTGTTTGCCGGCTAATCAAATAAAAATAAAGTCACTAGTGCGCTGCTGGACTTTTCAGATGGACTAAACGTTGGAATGGTTTAAAATAGACCATTTATAAGATCGATTTTTCGTTTAATTACTACCACACATAGAAATTTAGGATAAAAATTAGGGCACTTTGTGTGACTGTATAACCAAATGTTGCTAGATTTTAAATTAAAGTCGTACCATATTATACTTCATCATTCTGATTATGAGCCCTTACCATGGCTCGAAACGAGTCAAGTTCCCTCGTAATATTTTAAACTTGTGCTGCGTAATTTGATACATACCTCGATCAAAAGCCAGCTTCAAAGCTTCAATTTCATCAGCAAAACCCGACACCCTGTATATCCCCTCAGAATCCATGCCTCTATCTTCTATCTCATTCACACATTTCTTCACGACGAATGGCAACGTACTAGAGTGGGCGTTCAGTAATGTAGTCAGGTCTATACCAAAGACACCACGCAACTTTTTTAAGTCTGGCACACAGTGATTTGGTACCCGTTCTGAACATTTTGAGTGTGCTATGAAGCCGCAGTCTAAAAACAAAATAAGTTAGAATTGAGAGACACCATTAATTTGAAATCAGTTAGAAAGTATACAAAAAAAAACAGGGTCCAAATAAAAATATATTTAGTGCCTAAAATCACAAAAAAAAAATGGTTTATGAAAAAAAACAGTTGCCCAACTACTATACCGTCCAATATTTCAACCCTCCTCCTCACGGCCCACCCGCTGCAGCAGGCGACACTACGGGCGTCGGGGATCAAGAGACGATCTCCGGCCACCGTGAGCGCGGGTATGCGGACGGCGAGTAAGGGTAGCTCGCCGCCCGACCAGACCCAGACCAACCAGCCTCCACCACAGAGCCTCAAGGAGCCAATATACCCATATATAGCCCTCTATAGGGCTGATGTTCAGCCGGGTCAACCCCGGCTTGCGGGGTAAGAGCAAGGAGGCACCGCGACCTCATCCCAGAGCAGGAGAACGAACGGGGGAGTTTTTAGTCAGTAAGAGGCTGACACTCCTGTCTTTTGATGATTTTCCCCTCACAAAAAAACCGTCCAATATTTATGGACAAAATTAAATACAAGATAATTATAGGTAAATATTATCAAAAAGTTTCTATTATTGTGTTTGATATTTTGAACAAAGCGGTTTTCCTTATATTTGTTTAATATTAGCATATTAATTAATATAAGGTGACTGGCAATTAGTGGCCGTTATTGTAATGTGATTGTACCCATGATAAAGAACAACTTTCACAAAGAAACTATTTCTATACCTACTCATTATTTTTTTTATGTAATAGATCGGCAAACGATCAGGCGGATTACCTGATGGTGAGCAATCAGCGCCGCCCATGGACACCCGCAACGGAGGAGTTGCGAGTGCTTTGCCGAGCTTTTAGGGATTAGGGATTTGGAGATTTGGAGATTGAGGAAGGATTGGGGGAGGGGAAGGATTGAGCCTCCGGTAACCTCACTTACACGGCGAAACACAACGCTGTGGTTGTTTCACGCCGGTTTTCTGTGAGTCCGTGGTATCACACAGGTCGAGCCGACCCATTCGTGCCGAAGCATGGCTCTCCCACACTCATATAATTTTATTTACTACATAAGTTTATAAGGAACTTATATGGAAATAGCGAAACAGTCACTTAGACGTCGCGCGTCGTCTATACTTCTATACTAATACATATTATAAAGAGGCAAAATTTTTAAGTTGTATATTGTGTATGTAAAATAACAAAAAAAAGTGGTATTTTCTCCCGAATTTTAATATGCTTATTTGGAAACCCTGAAAAAAAATTGTTAAAAATAATATTATTGTTACCTTCACATTTGACACCTTGAGCAGTGAACCCCCATAGGAAATTAGCACAAAGCTCACACCAATTCAAACCTTTGAATGTGTGTACTTTAAATGTATGTGACTTCGAGTACTTCATTACTAATGGATTGTCTTCTATTGATGGTGTGAGATCAAACGGAGGTTTCTTCAGGCCGTCTGTTTCAGTAATAACTTTGCTTTCAGTATTTATTATAATTGGGCTCGAGTTGTTCGATGTCCTGTAATTAATTAAATAAACAATAAATTAATTGATTCTTGAAATTTCGTCATTCAAATTCAATTCATTTCAAAATTTAGGTAAGGCAACTTTTTAGGAGCTTATACTCGAACTTTCAATTTGGCAAGTTTTTTAATGCCTGTCTTTTGTTATAATTCTTATAATATAATACATAAGAAACCTTTTTTCTATTGTTTTAGACACTAAAAACTTGCTAGTATCCAATTCAGGAATCAGTGGAAAAAACAGATCCAAATTATATTATAAATGAAAAAGTTTGTAAGTGTGCATTGATGTTTGTTACCCATTTGCTTGTAAACTGCTGAACAGATTTGGATAAAAATTACACACCGCTACAAGAATAGATATATGTATAATGTGGAATTACACATAGGCTACTTTTTATCTAGATAATGCATGGAGCTGGCTAAAGATACCTCTTAATTATTTTTTAAACTTACTGTTGCATTCTTGATAAAGTGTTAAGTTTGCGTCTGTTTAGAGTAACATATGGACTCTCTGGGTAGCTCGCTCGTGAGTTGATCATTTCAACAATGTGGTGAGCCTTCAGTTCCATGTGACATGTGACTAGCCCGTCCGCCACCAAGTCATAGATGGTCTCATAATGTTTCGTACCAATGTAATGTGAACCATCATAATATAGCTTGTAATGATGGATCTTGTCATCAAATCTGAAATGTTATTGAGTTAAGGAGACAGATAAGTATTTTTTTATTTATTTTGATTTTATTTATTAAGAATTTTAATCCTTTTGGTAATTAATAAACCATTGAGTATTTTGTTATCATAGATTTTTTGTGTATTGCAGAGTATTGCATATAATTTTTTTCGTATACAATTTTATTAAGCTTACTACCTTCTTATAATGTGTTAAAAATTTTGTACTTAAGTAATCTTGTTAAATAGATCTGTTTAATTAAGTAGTTTAGTCAGATGATCAGGAATGCAAGCACAAAATTTATTTTACTTACTTTAAAGTTAACGTATAGAAATCATTATTTTGACTTCCTTTCCTAATTAGAAAGGCGCCATTCGGTTCATTTTCGAGAATTGCTGTCGCTTCCTTATGACTCATTACACCATGATACTCGCGACCGTAAAACTCTGGTCTGTCCTCTAAATTATCGCAAACCACACGTTTAGGTTTCGGAGCCTCCATCTGTATTCGATATACTGGAAAGAAAGCCATAAACATATACATTGCATCCACTTTCAAAGTAATTACAAATCGTAAACTTACATTCCGGTTTCCAAATGTTTTTCAAGTTCTCCATTTTATTAGATAGTTTATTTTACAACTATGTATTGATGCCACAATTTAATTACGCGTCAGTATGTCAAGGTATTTAGGAAATAGTCGCCTTTATTAAGGAATAATTGGAAACTGAAACGTAAACAAAACTTGCGGTGTTTGACATTGACGTTTGAGCTGAATTCAGTCGATATTTTTTATGATTAATCTGTCATTGCTTTGCGTTTAGTTCACTTCTGACCACTTTACTAATGATACGACTATAAATATGAACACCAAATTCATAGTTGCGTTTGAAATCCATTCAATTTCCAAAACACATCATTCTCAGACTCGAAACAATAATTTGTAGATTTACCAATGAATGGGTTATTTTGTGCAGGAACCATACCAGCGACACGTATCACGACAGCCAGTTGTCGAGCCACCACGTCAACTGTACTACCTTAATATGTGATCTTGTTATGAACGTCTGTTATTTCTACCCGTAAATTATTTCACAATTTTTGGTTTTCTCTGAAAACAATGTAGGGTTATTTAAGTCTACGTCTTTAACGTGTCTTGTGTCTAATATTTGCGTCGCATTGAGAATAATATGAATTCTTATTCTTTCTTAGGCTTGTGTATTTAGTTTTTGATCAAGCTTTATAGTTTTCAAGCAAAGGAGTTGTAAGCATTATTGAGCTTGAACTAAAAAAAAAACAACAGATAACCCTGCACTGAAAATGAACAAAACGTATCTAAAAATAGTAGGTAAAGGTACTACTACCGGTACCAATACGGAAGAAACGAGAAAAGAGATTAGTTGCCTAAAAATGCTGGTACCATGATAAACAATGTAGGAAGTCCAGATTTACCATTTTATCGTAACAGAAGAGCTCTCATCGTAATTGCCCTTGATTTTGATAATTAACAGAGATTCATGTTACATTCGCCATTGACCTACAGATACAATTAAGTATATTAATCACGATAGGGGTTCAAACGAGTATTTTATTTAAATATCTTGACGTAGGTATATAATTTATTAAATTAACTTAATTTAAGTACTTATTTTTAGTTGTGTTGTATTAAGATTTTATTTTCATTATTTAAACTTAATCAATGACCAAAGTAGTCGTATACCTTTATTTTTTTGTGCGAAATTCATCGTTTAAAAATTCTCTCGCCCAGGGTCGGGACTAAAACCTCCCTGTTCTTTCTCAAGAAATACGCCGAAGCTGCGGTACCGACTTGCGCTTGTCCCGCAATCCCAACTGAACATTAGTTCAGATGGGGCCCCTTCTGTAGTGGTCTAATGTACGTACGCTTGGGGTCTGTGGTGTCTCCTTTTTTTTGTGTCAGACTCTTACTGAATAAAAACCCCCCATTCCTTCTCCTGCTCTAGGCCGAGGCCGCGGTGACTCATTGCGCTTAACCCGCAACCTGCGGCGTCCTATCGCAGGATTCCAGAACTCTGGCTGATTACCACGAGTTCAATATTAAAATATCAAAATCCTTATAACGCTTTATCTTATCTAGTAAGCGAATCCAAGACCCACAACGCACTCAAAGGCGCCTTTCTTTGCGAATGAATTTAAACAATTTAGCGGTTGTAAGAAGATTATTGTTGGATATTATTTGTTCCGGGAAATAAAAGAATTTTCTTGGCGAATTAAATACCCCTAACGACCCAGGGCCCCTAGGGAACTGCTTACTCTGCCTTTTTGTAAATCCAACACTGCCATAAGTATTCACTCTTCCGAATAGGTATTCCTGCGAGGCGGTCACTGTTTTTTTTAAAAAAGCGGAACTACCTACTTCTGCCTAAACTGTAACCTGGAAAACGCACTTGTGACTCCTCCGATGTTCAGAGGATTCATGGGCAACGCTAATAGGTGATCCGTCTGTTCTGTTTCCTCCTATTCTATTAAATTAACCTTAAAATGAGTATAAGACAATTTCTTATCATGTTTCTTGAAGTAAAACTCACTGTAGAAGATAATGCACATCAGGGAAGCTTCCTATAGGAAAGGCAGCCACTTAATACCAAGATAAGAGAATTAGGTTCCTAAAAAGATAAGGTTCACAGTAAAAGGGACAGATGTTAGTTAATTTTAACCTTAAAATTGTTATCTATGATTTAACTACAGTTTTAGATAATTGTAGTCAGTTACGTGTCGTTGGAAATTTACTAAAGTTTAGTTTATTTCCTGTTGTTTTGGAATAAACATTGGAATAGGAACTGTTGGATGTTGTTTTTAGGCGGATCTATTTATTTTATTACCAGCTGACTCGGCCAACTCGATACCATCTCAAATGCTTATAATATATGTTCTGTGTGACCTTTTAGACCTTCAATAGACTGGATATTTTAAAACCAAAATTATCCACAACGGACCAGCCGTTCTCGAGTTTTAGCGAGCTAACGAACAGCACTTATTTTTTTATAGGTATATTAGATTTTTGGTGTGCATCTAGTATGTTTTGTTTATTGAAAGCAACAGCTGACGAGCTCTTGTTTGATTGCCGAGTACTTACCTAAATATAGTGGAGGTCGCATTAGGTACCCCGGAGAATAATTATTCACACGGCGAAACACAACGCTGTGGTTGTTTCACGTCGGTATTCAGTGAGGCCGTGGTATCACTCCGGTCGAGCCGACCCATTCGTGCCGAAGCATGGCTCTCCCACACTTAATGAACCTTGAGTAAGCTTGACCAAAACATACCTTTTCCGTATGAGATGAGGCCTTCGATCAGCTGTAGGTAGCTGTAGCTTCGATCAGGCATTTGTAGGCTGGTGATAGTTAGATTTTAGCTATGCATCTGCATTTCTTTTTCAGGGGTTAATCACCAAGTTTCCTCTATGGTCCTAGGTGGGGTGAGAGGAAGTGCCAAACTTTTACTCATTAAAAACCACACCGATCGAACCCAACCACTCTGGGGCCGCCGAAGTATCTCATCCCCTGGGCTAAACGGAGTAGGTTCCCTTGAATGACAATAGTTTCCGACCTGAACAGAAAGCAAAGTCGAAAGAAAAAGAAAAACAAAGCAAGTGCTTTATATGGGACTAGCTATTCTCGCGCGGTTTCACCCGCTATTCGGCTCCATTTAATCTTAGTGTGATGTTTTATAGCCTTTAGCACTCAGGAACATTGTAGCTATAAGTATAATATCAGTGAAAGAATTTTGGCAATTCGACCAGCGGTTCCAAAGATTACCCCCTACATACAAACTTAAAAATTTTACCTCTTTATAATAAGTATCGATAATTAGTTTAGTATAAATAATTAACAAAAATAATTAACTAATGTGGTTCTCTTTTCTCTTAGTTTATCTATCTAAAGGCATGCAAAATGTACCCATCTAAGTTTAGAGAGTAGGGGAGAGTCGGGTAGCCACGGACACATAAACAAAACTCAAAATATTTTTTAAATGAACATTATTAGACATTTATTTAGAATCAAACCATTAAATAAAATATATATAAAGTATTTTAGTAGAAGTAACGATCAGATAATTCCTTAATCTTAACTGTAATCAAGTCTAATAAACAGTATTTTTAACAATATTTTTTTTGGCGGTTAGCCCCGGACATCATTTATTGGTGATGATCAAGTGGATTTACGGCTTTTCAGACGTCACAAAAATAGTAAAGGATCACTATCTACGCATGCTTTATGCTCCCAGTCTTTGCATTTATGACATTGTATCAAATCTACTTCAAATGTTTCTCCACAAATAATGCACTCGGTATCTTGGTCTCTTGACAGTTCTTGGATGTTCCGTTTGTTTTCATTTTATTTTTCCCTTTCCCTTGGCCCTCTTTACAGTCTCTGCCGCTTCAGATTCGTTACCTAATATTGTCTGTTTTTTTAATAAAGATTATTTAAATGGAGAAGATGACAGAATTTCGCTCTTTTGAGTTTTTCGTGAACGCGTCTTCGAATCTCCCTAGTTTTGGAACCAAGTTAACCTCTTGTCGAATATTAAGTGCTTTTATTCGATTCCGAAGAGTACTCGGCACCTGACACCTGCCATCTGCTTCTCCCAAAGAATAGTTCTTTTCTTTAACACTTGTATAGCCTGTTTCATTTTATCTGCATCCCAATTCCTTCGTTTAGTGACTCTTTCCTCAGATTTTGGTATTTTCCAGAGCTTCTGCATAAAATAAATAGCCTATATTTACTCTTCCTATCATAAAAACATTTGTAATATCCAAAAACGCGATAAAAACATTTAAATACAGATTTTCCTTCAGCTCAAAAAGTGTCCGTGGATACCCGACAAAATTGTGTCCGGTTTTACCCGACCGCCTCGATCCAACATTCTATTTATTTTTAAAAATACTATAAATCCCATCGACATAGAAAATTATACCCTTTTAACTGTGATGATTACTACATAGAAAAATGTATAAATCTCTCTTATGTACTTATATTCAATATCTATAAACTGTATTTAAAAAATAAACGGCGTAAGAAAAAATGTTCGGTAATGAAAACAATCAGCTGTCATTTATTGTCTGCTCGACGAAGGTGGCACTACTGCGGCGAATATTCAACTAAGCGATGCTCCGAATGTTTTGATGTTTACACTTTTTGTCTATGTATGCCTGGTTGCCTGGGATAGTCAGTGGCCGGGGCTACCCGCCGGCCGGGGCTACCCGACTCTCCCCTACTTAAAAATTCGTAAGATCGGAAAAGGAGGATCGATCGATCGAGGCGAGGTGATAAACCTCGGCGAGCTGCTGCCTAACAGTTGTATCTTGGGATTTTCTATATAGGTTTGGACACCAGAGGACAGGCATGTTGCCGGCCTTTTAAGAAGGACTACGCGAAATTTTCTGCGACCTTGGTCAACAAACGAGCAATCGGATTACCTGATGGTAAGCAATCAGCGCCGCCCATGGACACCCGCAACGGAGGAGTTACGAGTGCATTGCCGATCATTTAGAGATTTGGAGATTTAGGTATTGAGGAGGGATTGGAGGAGGGGAAGGATTGGGCCTCCGGTAACCTCAATCACACGGCGAAACACAACGCTGTGGTAGTTTCACGGCGGTTTTCTGTGAGGCCGTGGTATCACTCCGGTCGAGCCGACCCATTCGTGCCGAAGCATGGCTTTCCAACACTTAAAAACTTAAAACCTTCAAACAGTCTCATGAATGTTGTGTACTGTGTTTTATCGCTAAAGGTATGTACCGAAATGTAAACTTTTTCAAGCAGATGTAAGATTTGTTTGTTATTATTATCATCGATCCTATGTACTATATACAGTGCCGTGAACATACATATAAGTACGTAAATATATAGGTATGTCTATCTACATCACTTATTGGCAAATTTCCAATACAAACCAAGAAGATGGTAGTACATCTACATATTATATTATGTTATTTAATTAATTATCTAACTTTTATTCATATGATGAATTAAAATAAATACATTATGAAGATTCATACGTAATAGCTTTGTTCATTATGCTTTTGTTATAAAAATTGCTCCAATCTATGATTTTCTACTGTGTCGTATGATAGGCCACTAATTTGGCCCGTAGGAGTATGAGATCCTTTAGGTAGATAAGCATGTAAAATGTTACTACGGCCAGCAGTACCAACAATGCTGCTTTACGTGTCCAGATTGCACCACTCTACGCAGGTTGAGGAGATCGTGGAGTACGTGCGCGTCAAGACCAACTGGACCTTGAGGGTCGAGAGGTTGGAGCGTCACAACACGAACTTCAAGTCGTTCGTGGTGCGAGTTCCGACACACCATTTCGAGAAGTTCCTCGAGGAAGAGTTTTGGCTGAAGGGCGTCGTGTATCGCCGGTTTCGTGGCCGCCTACATGACACTAGTCAGTGAAACATGACGCCGACACTTCGTGTGCCTAGGGCACATTTTATAGTTTAATATTATGTAATATGTATTTATAGTATTTTTAAGTTTTACATTGTTTATAATTATAGTACTTATTGTTTATGTTTATATGGGCCTTCGATGCCTGAAATAAATGGATAAATAAAATAAAAATTGAATGATACGTTACGTGTACGTAAGGTGTGATGGGTGCAACCTGTTCCTTCTCCTGCTTTAGGCCGAGGTCCCGGTGTCTTATTGCGCTTGCCCCGCAACTTCGGCTAAACATCAGCCCTATAGGGCCCCGTCTGTGGTGGTCTATTGGCTCTTTGAGGCGCGCGCGGAACACTACGCGACGTACGCTCGGGTCTGGTTCAGGTCGGGCGGCGAGCTACCCTTAGTCGCCGTCCGCAGACCCGCGCTTACGGTGGCCGGAGATCATCTCTCGGGAATAATATAACCATAAAGTTACATTTCGAAACGAACCAATGAATTTCACTAGGCAGACTATACAGAACAGACATACACTTTTAAACTTCGTATATTTAATAATTTTGTTTGATGTTCAAAAGCGCCTTTAATTGATTATTGAATGGTACTTACCAACTTGAAATAGATGATTTGACTTTAATAAAAAGGGGTACGGGATATACTTAGATAATGTATTACGTCATTCAGCTATGGCGATGGCGTAGGGAAATAATACGCACTTGACGATAGGAATTCAAAATAAGGGGTAAAGGACTGCACATAACAACAGGAAAATTACGATAATGTTGTGTCTCTAAGAATTAAGTAAAGTTCAGTTTTGCTTGGCACACTGATTAAATACTTACGTCTCTATGACGCTTATTATATTACCTTTTTGTGTAATAGCAAACGAGCTAACGCATTACCTGATGGTAAGCAATCGGCGTCGCTCAAAGACCCGCAATATAGGGGAGTTGCAAGTTCGTTGCCGGTCTTTTGGGAGACCAGTAAGTACCTATGGGAGGTCAATACCTAATATTTAAGGATTGACGAATTCGCGGGTTGACAAAGAGAGAGCGGGGCGGGCGGGATCAGGTCTTCGGTAAACTCATTCACACGGAGAGAGACAACGCTGTGGTTGTTACACGCCATTTTTTTGATACATATGTTTCATCTACTTACCTATATTTATGTATTTTTTTTAAAATGTATAGGTACATTAGTTGTTAGAGAATGCCATTAAGCGTTGTATATTTTCAAAAATGGCCGCCCTATTTGTCAGTCCGATCAGATCAACACGGCTCTAGATTCTACTATGCAAAATGGTCACCACACCGTCAACGACAGAATGAGATGGAGAGAGACCATGGAAAAAAAGTTGTGCAAAAAGGTGGTCACGACCCTCAGCAATGAGGAATGCGATCCAAGGAGAAGGACTTATTCCTTAATTTATTCTTACGAGAATATAATAAGTATTAGGTATTCCAGACAACACCACGTCTAGGAAACAGTACCGATTTTTCGTGCACGACGAACGTTTTTATTTTGTGTTAGCTAGAACATATAAATCTACTATGTGGCACCACTTGACCAGTTACTTCATTATCATCATCAGCCTAAAAGTGCCCGAAGGTTTGAGCAAAATCACCACGCTTGCTCAAGGCGGATTGATGATATCTAACTTATAACACGAATAAGTCCAGGTTTTTTCTAGATTTTTTTTGCTTTAGCGTTTGTCAGTGGTGTTTTGATACACTTAAAAAGTCAAATGAAAGTCATATTGGTACTTGTACCCTCCTGCTTGAGAAGTGGCAGCGACAGCCTCTTGTTCACCACGCCGGTTACTTATTAAGTAACTTTAATTCTCTTTTTTATTTTTTGAAGCATTTGTTAACTTTAGGACGAAGTTTTCATAAAAGAAAAATTCAATACATTCATAGGGAACGTCAAAAAGACACCTATGAGAAGCTGGAGCGCGCTCATAATAATTATAAAACATCTATCCGGAAATCGCAGTAAATATGGCCCTTATAAACTTGAGCACGGCAGACACCTGAAGTTTAACGGAAAATACTTTTCTATAGGAATAAGGAAAAATTTACATACAGAGGTTGTTCCTTCAATTTATTTGAGTACAGTTTGTCTTATCTGAATTTATTTGTTGATCCATGGTTGCAGTGTGAGCGGAAAATGCACGCCTGAATTTATATTAGGTATTTATTTTCTTTTGCTTGCTTTTATTTAGGTATTAAGTATTATGTATTACAATATAATTATTTTGCATTAAATGTTTGTAAGTTTTCCTATGTAAGTAAGTATGTGAAATTTGTATGTTTGTATGTAGGGCATGATATGTTCCTGAGTACTGTATAACTGTAATGTAATGTAAATTGTACGGCTATAAAATGTCACCCTACAAACAAGAGGGGCCGAGCAGCGGGTAAAACCGCGCGGCAGTAGCTAGCTAGCTAGTAAATATTTTATTTTTTATTAGTAAATGAACTGGCGTTTGGCCACCATCTTACTTGTGTCATGGAAAGGTATGACGCGATGATGGAGCACGCCTTCCCACAAGCAACCTTGTCTGCTGTGCTTATTTAGCATGCCCCCATTTCTTTCTTATTTTCTGATATAATGGGCTAGTTTAAAATAACAACAGTATAAATGCTAACCTTTTAATCCTAAGGGATTAGGTACCTACTTCGGTATTAAATTCTACTAAGTACCTAATATTATAAATGCAATAAAATTGTTACTCTTTCACATAGAAACTACTGAGCAGGTGGAATAAAACATGCTTGAAAGCCTTGTTTTATGGTATAGGTCTTCAAACGAGCAGACGGATGACCTGATGTAAGCAATCGGCGTAGCCAATGGACACCCGCAACTCCAGAGAAGTTACGAGTGCGTTGCCGACCTTTTGGAGATAAGAGTTACGGATATTTAAGACGAACACTAGGAGAACCACGCCTGGCAGAAACTAGTAGGTATTATGTCATAAGTTAGTCATAGGAAATATACATAATTGTATAGCATTATGTGTGATGAGCTTACCTTAAAAGGGACTAAGGGCATTCCATAGAATTGATTTACGCGTAACAAACACAACATATACATTATACATGTAATGTAAATGTAAAAACTATATTTTTCTATGAAATTTGTATGAAAAACTGCGTTATGACGTCATCGTTTTTTGAGTCAAATAGCTTACTTTACTTAAAAATTAGCTAAAAAATATCTAAAATTCAGTGTATCGATCGATCGATGAATAAAAGTTTAGTTATTTTTCAATATTTCATTTACTGAAACACAGAAACTACCCAATTGTCGACCGTTGTTACATTATATTTCAAAGTTGGATTGGAGTTACAAGCTACTTGTGTATCTAACTATTATGAATGTAATGCCATACTTATAACAAAAAAATACAATTTTCTTCTCATAAATAATGGTTACCTTACACGAAAATGTTCACTTATGTCGTAGAAATGTAGGTATATGAACACAATGTTGCAAGCACATGACATGCACACAGATCCGTTACAACTATTTTTCGAGCAGACGATGAATTGTTTCCAGAATAGAATTGTTTTAGTATCAATGTCCACCAGAATACTTTTATTATTGGTAAACAATAGGTTCAGAAAGTAATTAGGTATTGTTATGTTCTTTTTTCTGATAGTTACAACGTTAGCCGAGTATAAAGTGCCTAGAGAAATAGGGAAGACTACAAAGTAATTTCGTTTCTATAATCTTTATGGTTGCCAGTTAAGAGTAGCATATAAGTAATTTTTTTTATGCGATAGGTCGGCAAACGAGCGGACGGATTACCTGATGGTAAGCAATCAGCGCCACCCATGGACACCCGCAACGGAGGAGTTACGAGTGCGTTGCCAACCTTTTAGGGATTAGGGATTTGGAGATTTAGGGATTGAGGAGGGATTGGGGGAGGGGAAGGATTGGGCTTCCGGTAACCTCACTCACACGGCGAAACACAACACTGTGGTTATTTCATGCCGGTTTTCTGTGAGGCCGTGGTATAACTCCGGTCGAGCCGACCCATTCGTGCCGAAGCATGGCGCTCCCACAATGAACTGTGAAATACTACATCCTCACTTTTTTTAACAAAACAGTGAAATTCTGCGCGGGGTTTCTTAATTGCCTTCCTTCTTCTCCTAACCTGAATGCCTTCAAGGCCCGAATAAATAGGTTGATTATAAATAGGCACCCTGTCCCATCGCATCATCGCTTACATCCAGCCGAGATAGCGGCCAAACGCAAAAACTATTTCTTATAAAGAAAAGCAACTTTGCAGTTTGCATTTTATCTTTATCTTTATCAGTATATCTTTCATTCAACACAAAATTTAATTCAACGCAACTGAGATAAAAATCGCTCAAACGAATCCAACAAGCGTAGCGTAGCGATTAGTGAGTCACATTCAAATCCGCGCGCACTAGCACCACGCCTCAACAGAGACGTTTAGTTCAGTATATAAACATAAAATAACATTCCATTGTATTATTCAGTACAAGTCACTTGCAGTAATTACCTAATTACTCCCTATTTTAATTAATAGTTTAATAAAAAAAAAAAAAAAACCTTATTTAGTTAAAGTAATTGGTTTGGCGGTTTAAAAAATGACGAAAGTATTTTTTTATTCTTGTATGATTGGTCTGTTCTTGGACCTTTCTTACGGTTGGGTTATTAATGATATTAACACGAAGATGTTGTCAAAAGACTTGTTTTCAAATGAGCTCAGTGATGAAGAAATAATTGCGGAAGCGAGTACCTTATTTAAACAAAGAATCAGTTTAATATTTCCCGGTAAGTTCTTTCTAATTATTTTTTTATTTTATTTTTTGTACTGTAGACTGCTGTATTTTATTTTTCGCAATTTTCTACGATAATTATTATTATCTTAACGCGAATAGGAAAGTGGAAACGGATGTAATTAAATTCCATTTAATTTTTATTTGTATTGCACTATTTTTGTTTTAATGTGGTGGGCGCGTAACGAACATAAAATTTCACATACACATCACACCCAGACCAATTATTATGAACTAGCTACTCTCACGCGGTTTCACCGGCTACTCGGCTCCATTCGATCGTAGCGTGATGTTTTATAGCCTATAGCACTCAGGAACATTGCAGCTATCTATCAGTGAAATAATTTTGGCAATCCGACCAGCGGTTCCAAAGATTACCCCCTACATACAAACTTACAAATTTTACATCTTTATAATATTAGTATAGATAGTATACTTAGATATACAAGTGAGAATCGAACTTACGCCTCAACATCAACTGTGTAATTATTATCTGATTGACAGTTGTCACAAAACATCTTCAATCTTTCAAACGAATAGAGAAAATATTCTTGAAAAAAAAAACAGACAACACTCAATCTGTATTATTCCTTAAAAAACTCATCTGTTCGTAATTTAAAATTGCGTCCGAACGTTTTTGTCCGAATCCGGAAATGAAATAAAAAAAAAACGCAACTAGAACAAGGAAGTATTTATCAGCCAATCGATGATTCGGAACTTCATTTGATTAGTTTAGCAATGCGTAGTTAACAAAGATACCTACCGTGAATAAATAGTTAGGTAATTAGTTTATTTGATACTAACTAAATGTTTTATGTTAACATTCCGTGTTTAACTAAGGTTTATAACACGTCTTGTCGGGCCCTTTGTTTGTATAAAGTGTCTAGATTATATTCCGATTCAGAAGATAAAGTATGATGACGGTGACTCACATTCATATGGTTTTTTATTCAGTACTAGCTTATCAGCCAAAAAATGATTTGACGTGTCCCGGTTTGGGCGGGAAGGAGTATTAAACTCTTACCTACTGACTAAAAACCCCCCCGTTCATACTCCTGCTCGGGGTAGAGGTCGCAGTGCCTCATTTAGTAAGCGCAACTTACGCCGCAACCCCGGCTGAACATCAGCCCTATAGGGCCCCGTCTGTGGTGGTCTATTGGCTCTTAAAGGCGCGCGCGGAACGCATCGCGCGGGAAACTTTGAATATTTCACACTACAAATATTTCAAGATCAAACTGAACCAAATCGGTCCAGCCATGCTCAAGTTTTAGCGAGACTAACGAACTGTTGTTTATTAGTCTATTTCTTATTTAGTATACAAAACAAGGAGTGTGTCATATTCCCTTTATATTGCCTATTGGCATTCCATTCTTTCTGTGAATTGGTTTGGTATTTTTCCATTATTGTTTTGTCAAATGTTTTATGTAAGTTTATGGTATGGTATGGATGGTATAATTCAAGAAAGTAAGTTAGCTGTGTAAATAATTGTGGTAAAGTCATGCTTCCGAGCAAATGGGCAAATCGGCGGTTAAATCCCTAATTACCAAAAGGCCAGCAAGGAACTTGTAACGTTTAGGTGTCTCTATACGTCTCTATGAACGATTGCTTACCATCATTTAATTCTTGTCCTCGTTTGCCTAATTAATCTATAAAAATAAAAGCATTGTTCGTACAAGTTCGTTCTAATTTATCTGGTGGACATTAGATATTAACAAAACAGGCCCTAGATCGTGAAATTTAGAAATTATGAATGATGTAAAATTTTCCCAAGCAAAGGACTGTTAAGATAATTCTATTAATAATTAAATATGCGATACTTACTTTGTAGTTTTTTTTACGGAAAAGAGCGGATGTTTGTCCTAAAAACTATTCTCTATGTAGTCTATTTGACCTATAAAAAACTGAATGGATCTAAATGAAATTTGGCTCAGATATAGGTATAGCCTGGAACAACACATATGCTAATTATTTACACTGGTATTACGGACAAGAAACTTGTTACACTTGTACTGCAGGCAAACCGGAACAGAAACAAAACTGATAAAAATACAGATCTGATTCATTTATTAATTCACCTAGAAAACTTGCCAGTTCATTATGCTGTATAACTTTACACTAAGTTCATAAAAAATCCGAGGGTTCATATAACATAGGTTTTTTTCAATTAAGATTTATTTATTAATTAAATTTCTAATTCAGGTACAAAATGGTGTGGTGCTGGCAATGTGGCGGATAACTATGATGATCTAGGCGAAGAGAAAGAAGCCGACATGTGTTGCAGAGAACATGACAATTGTCCCGATTTGATTCCCGGAGGAGAAACTAAACATAATCTAACTAACGACGCTTTCTACACTAGGTAATAATTACTCATCAGAAAAATCATAGGCTAAGCCTATATATATCTCATAGAAGCCTTTCGGTTTTTTATTGGATACATTATGGAGAATGTATGGAATCCTTTCCACCATCATACCGCCAGACAATTGGCAAAACATCATTGCTTCGTGGTAGACATCTCTCCCACCTTCTCGCACGGAGTGGTTCGCCTCCAGTTTTATAATCAGAACCACTAAGGAACGGAATTCTTCGCCAGAGTCTTGAGAGTGTTTCTCCGAAGGATATAGCCTGGGTTTCTTCAAAGCCTTAGTGAAAAGGTTGCTTATGGTTGGGCGTGTTCCATTGTAGGTCGTATCATCGCTTACTACCAGGCCTGATAACAAGCAAATGCTTGCTCATAACGAAGTAAAACAGAAAATCATAATGTTTAGGGCTCGAGTATATTTAAAAGATCCCAGGCAACAGAGCCCAGTTTTTGGTAACCTAACCGCAATCCCCAATTCGCTTATTAAGTGTATAAATTGTGTTTTTTATAGTCTTTGACCTGTTATACATATATATTAATAACAATAGTGTGTGAAAAAATTTAAGTGTATGTGAGTCCCATGCTGGGTGCCAAAATTTTAAGTTGAAGCCCAGGGTGGGCGCCACTTTGCAAAAAATAGATTTTTGTATTTTTAAAGATCAAAGTTGATTTTTTTTTTGTAAAGAATTTCCACTTTGTTATTGATAACGTAAACAGGTGGTTTGTACAGTAAACAAAAAGCTATTCTTTTCACCAAGTAAATCTTTCCTTTTCAGATTGAGTTGTGCTTGTGATGAGAAATTCTTGACATGTCTGAGATCTGCTAACACGAAGGTCGCCAGGTACATTGGTCTTATATACTTCGATGGTCTACAAACAAAATGCTACAGAGAAGACTATCCAGTTATCAAATGCATTAAGAAAGGAGGGTATGTAACACTATAATTTTCTTTTGTTTTAAAATTAACATTCTCTGCTTGAATTATTTTCTATATTTATTCATTTTCTATAGATATTATATTAATTCTATTCTTTGCTAAAAGCAGTAACCATGGAATTTCTTGCTCGTTCTTCTCCATCGAAATTTACACTTTGGAACGAGCTAATAATAATCTAGCTTCACTAAGAAGACTTACTGACAGACTGACACCCAGTTTCTGAAAGGCTTGTCAACGCCAAAATTAACTAAGCTCCTGTTAAATCTCTTGTCAAGTCATCTGATTGGTTGTTGATAATTCAGTCAACCAATCAGATGACTTGACACAATTAAATTGATTTTAACATTGATCGACCTTTCGGAAACCGTGAGTTAGACTTTATATCGCTAAGTTTTGTTTGACGTTCAAAAGGTCTAATTGAAATAAATGATTTTGACTTTTGGTTTCTACGCTTACCTGATCATCATCATCATCTCATCTGTTGTCAATTTAATAATTCAAATTAATATGTTATTAGTGCTTTGCAATTTAGTACAAGTTGACAAAATTAATCATTATTATGTTAGATTTTGGATCCTTGCCCTGTATAATATGCAAACCTTACAGAGAAGGTGCTTATAAGATAAAGAAATTTTTCGGGAGCTTTTCTCAATCAAAAAGAGGTTTCTTACTCCAAGTATTTAGAAAATCTATTATTTTTTCTCTTTTTATATTACTTTTATCACAATGTATGTTTAATAACGTTATGTAGGTACAAGCTACGATGGGGCTGTCATGGTTAGTGTCATAAGGATAAGCCTTAAAAAAATAAAGATATTTTTTTACAATATACTATATCTCTATATTCTTTAATATAATTTCAGGTGGTTTAAAACAAAATGTGTCCAATATTCCTACGATAAAAATGGCGAAAAGATCTACCAGTGGTTCGACGTAGAAGACTTCTGAAAAAAAGAATTGGGTATCTAGTCGATTTTATCAAATTAAGTGTACTTAAAGGACATATGTTAAACCAAGTGATTATTTATATGTGATAATATGATTGTTAGTTTTTAATGAATTTCTGCGTACCTACCTTACTTTAATAGGTACCTACTGCGTTTGTTTTATAAGTTGTTGTGAAGAGTTTATTTTTACCTGTATCTAAAAACAGCCGATTTATTTGGTAGATAAGAAAAATAGACTATATATAATAAATAGATAAAATAGACCAGTAAAAAGTCAGTTAACTATTATTATAAAATATTATTATAAATTAAAAGCTTTATTACGGAGCCAAATCTTTTTTTAGAATCCCTATACCCCCCAAAAGGCTAGTCTATTGCTAGATTCCATCTTACTGTCAGGTGATTCATCAGCTAATTTTTTTATTGCTAAGATGGCAAATCTTAAACAATAAAAAAATGGTTGGCTACTGAATAGACCATTAGCAGTGTCATATTATCTCTGTACGGGAATCTGCTTACCAAATAAACTTGTTAACCGTAGTTTGCTATTGTGGACAGCTAGTGTGGACTTGATGTTGTTTTGTTGTATTAAATAATATCATGGTATGTTATATTTGTTCGCGTTCAAACATTATAGTAATACAATAAATAAAGAAGCGGCATTCGTATTATTTATTTTTCAGCATATTTCATTGGTACATTGTTAGAGATTTCGCCATAATTCATTATTCATAATATACAACTCTTTATATTAAATTATGCACACATGAATGCACGATTAATATACATAATTTATATTATCTCATAGGTATAAATAACCATACATTTAGTTACACATGTGATAAAAGATATGAGTACAGTTTTATAACAATATATAAACAAGTGAACAACTCGAACTGTGTCGGAAACAACACTAGATTATCTTTATTAATTATAGAAAAACTTCAAATATGGATTATACATATATAAATAATGTAGATATGTAGCAGTGCTTAGCTAAAACATTGGAATGCGGGCGCACGCATTGTTATGTACAACCGGTATATACATACATCCGTCATACATAGGTAATACTGGGCTAAACTGTGGGGCTATATACTTACGAGTGATTAACTAGGAGTCCAAAGCTAATTCTGGATTTATACGTGAAAACGTTGAAACACGAGAGCGTAGAACTTTGTTTGGATAGATACGAAGCAATAAAAAGGACTTAAAGAGAATCCCTTGTACAAAGTGAGCAATCTCCAAGGAGGCTAGTCCAAGCGACCTTACCGACCAATATGTACAACAACAACTTGAGAACATTTATAAATTATTTAGATCCAACGTCGCTATGCAGGGCCGGTGGGTTCCATCCATATCTTCATATAATTATTTATTATTAATCAAAAGTATGAAACGTCCACCGTCTCAATAATATTTCGTTTATCTAACACGTTCGTGTCGCAATCAAGTATATTATTATTTTAACGAATTCTATATATTTTCTAAAAGTAATAATATTTCATGCAAGCAGTCTTTTGTCGGGTGGAAATGACACTAACTAGTTCACGTTACATGTCGCTTCCCACGCCAACAGATTTTACGATAAGAATATTACACATTCTATGATGTTTTTTTTTTATTAAAAACTCCATATCAAAATTGTATGATATTTTCTTAAAATGAATTTTATCAAGCGGAGGTTTTATGGAAAACTCAACTCGTTTCTGAACGAAACATTTGTTTTAACAACATTTTAATTAATTCATAATAAATATTATTTTTTTTTTAAAGTCTTAGCTCATTCATGAAAAGCTGGCAAAGAATGCTTCGTTCACAGAATATATATGTATAAGTACATGAAACAAGTATTTAGACATATCTTGAGATACTTAAGTTTATTTATAAGTCGTTAGAAGTGACCAATGACGCAGTACTGTTGTGTAAGTAGGTATTATATTTAAGAATGATAAAGATGGTATCACGTCTTCTATCACAGAATATTATTATTTCGAGAATAATCAAAGAATCAGCATATAAAGTTAATGCGCTTACACAATTCTTATTTAAAATATATTTATCGTGTAAGTCGAGTCGAGTTGCAGCAGTTAGACATTACATTCGGGTGTCGGCAAGTCTCAGTAGGCACCTATTGACCTATACTTACACTTTCCCAACATTTACACAATATATAGAGTGTCGTATTCGTAAGTATGTAATACAAGTATTTAACTTAGTGAACAGGATTTAGATATACAAGTAACGTTATTCAATAATGTCATTTTTACACAGGGGAACGACTTACTTATATAGATGACTTATGACGTGTCCGACAGCGGAGGCCGACCTATAATTGTACTACTTATGTAATATATTGATCACAAATGGAGTTCATGGGATAGTTCAAGTTTCCTTCGTAGAAATTCATTAACAGTTATTATTGATTCAAGTTTTGGTCAATGGGACGGTCGCAGCAGCATCACGTTGCCTGCAATATTGCTCGAAGTATTGAAATTATCTAATAAATATTTGTATTGTTAACATTAACAGTAATAGTTCTTACATTGAAATACGGTGAAATAAACATTTAAGTTTCAACTACTCATTTAGGATACATTCAGGTAACTCACAGCTAGCGATCAAAAACGTAACGTAGAAAATCACAACAATTCTATGCCATAAGGATCGTGTAGTAATACCTAGGTATATATAGTAACATTACAACTGTCCTACACATAGTAAATAATGCAGATCCGATAATGTGGAAACAATTCACTCGATATCATATTCTAACCTAACAGGAGGACGTGAGCCCAACATAGAGAAGCATCGGAGACGCGACCAGCCGGACGCTCCGGCCGTCGATGCTATTGAGACAGCACTAATACTCGGAATATTCACTAGACTGTGCGTTTATTGAAATTTACTATGTACAACAATCTCCTAATTGCGTCAGGCAAGTACCAGCGCAGCGGCACTTGGAACAGAGTAGACAGCAGCCCTGGCATCCTGGCGCCCAGCGTCAGGGCCCCCCACAGCACGGCCACGATGGTAACTAAGCACACGAGCCAGTCCGTAGGAGCCACCGCTACTATTTGCCCCCGAGCCCAAATTTCATGAATATTAGTTCTTTGCCTTTGCTGAGGATGTCCCCGCCGGGCGCCGTCATCTCGGAGAACTTCTGCATGAGGTTGGGCTGCGTGGCGGGCGTCGAGGTCGCGGGCACCTGCACGTTGGGCGCCGGCACGACGGCGGGCCCCGCGCGGCGCGCCGGCGACGCGGGGGCAGGCGCGCCCAGTGGCCCCAGCGGCCCCGGGCCCCCGGGCGCGGCGCCGGCGGGGGGCGCGGCGGGCGACTGCACGGGCGGAGTCCCGGTGTTACCAGCGCTCGTGCGCGCGATCGTGTTCGGCGCCGGCCCGCTCGCCGCGCCTCTCGCCCTCGCCTGTGTCGCCAAATTCATCTCACATACTGCACTGCTCGTGTTACCGCGTTCTATCCGTTTCGGGAACATGTTTCCTCGATATTGTAATCAACCCACATAAATTAAAGTGTAAGGAAAAGATTCCCAAAACAGTTAAAACGCCTCAAAATTCAAATTTGATTAGCGTGATCATTATTTGTGAATCAAGTTATGCAACAAGCTGTATAGATATAGGTATAATGATTGGGGACTGGTGCCTGATCTTATTTGCAGTTTCAAAGATCTGATAATAATTTACTTTAACATTAGGCATAGGTACTAGTAAATCACTGATTAGGGCATTACTTATAACATTATGCGTGTCTTAACTTAAAATATTTACATATAGGTAAATAAAGAACACTTACATCAATACCTAAGTCACTCTGTGTATCATGCTATACAATATTGAGACAAAACATTATTATTTACAGATATCATATTACACACATCAATATAGTATAAAAATGTGCAATAAAAAACATGCATTGCCATAAACAAAGCAGGTGGCATTTTAAAAATAAAATGGCTGACATCTTCTGTCAAACAATATTCACAATATTTTTTTTACTTTTTGAGAATAAATTATTCACTTGGGTTTTATAGAAGCTCAGATCGTTAAGGGTAAGTCAATTCATTCAGTACATTCGTCATGCTTTCTTTAAACTACAACATTAAGCTCGAGTTAGAACTATTCGATCACGTAATGATAGACAAGAGCTGTCACATAAACGCCAAAGAGGTTGCCATAGTAAGGTGACGTGACGCGCCATCACCAACGCAATCGTCTAGTAACGGACCACATTCACAGGCCTCAGAGATTGTAGTAACATGGTGAATGGGTTATGGTATCTGATGTGAGTGAAGTACGCCAGTGTATGTTCTGTACTAGTCTCTGTATGATTGGTCTGGTATGCGATGACAGCTAATGATGTGTAAACAATAAGACCGCCGAGTGAGTCGGTACCAGATGCCCTCTGTACACTGAGCGTAGATATGGAACGCAAGGTAAATATAGATAATAAAGAAATAAATGAAGAAAAAGGAAACAGTGAAAAAATAAAATCTAAAGATAATGAAGTGACAGTCGAACAAAAAAACGTCTAGTATCGTTGCATAGTATATTTGAAAGTATTGTTGTGGGTCGATTACAAACGGTATTTTTTACCTGAGAATTCGCCTGTTCTGGATTACTGGCGCATGTGTTGTGGTCTAACATAGAGGAAGGAGGGCAGGCATCTAGCAAACAGACAATACACACAACATATATAGTGACCACAGACAACCACTTGAATCTTGGATCACACCTCACGAACACCCGTGGGTTCAGAGCGAGATTATGTTGCGTGTATTTATTTGTACGACCAGCCTACCCGCTGAGTGACTAAATGCCAGGGTATACCGTGTGACGAACAAAACATAATAATAGGATAGAGAGTTGGATAGATGAAAATAAAATAAGGTATCCTCAAGTCTTAGCGGCGTGGCTTTGAGTAGTGTGGTTTGGTAACAAGGATACACCTGTCGTTGCAAGTCTTTGTATGGGATCAGAACCTCTTCGAACGATGTTTGTGACTGTGTAATCCAAGATAGAGTGTTCATTAGCAAAGTGTACACCAAGAGTCTTTGTGCTCCGTAGATTGCAACCGGACTCGCATTCATACATTCCGTTTTACCATCACTGACACACTTGGATCGATCCAGGATTCAATGGAAAGGAACTTTTATTACAAGAAATAATTTTAATTCAATCCAACATCATAATTTGTAAGGAATCTTAAAATTTGGAGAGGCCAATGATTTTCAAGGAGGCAATGAGACAAAACGGAACGGAAAATCTAAAACACAAACTCGCAGAGCGAGTCCCGTCGCAATCGAAAGTGTACAGGAAAGATGATAAGAGGGTTCCAGAGCGAAATAGCTAGCGTCTTTCAGTAGTCACATAGCAAGTCCAAGGTGCAAACATGAAACACTCAAAGCTCTCGGTGGACGGTGAAGATACACGTCTTCACCGAACTTACCTAAGGGAGGTCGGCTCGGCGATCTCTTTGTAAAGCGATTCGATCAGTCTATTTTATATAATTATACGGTCTTTTGAAGTCAATGTTCAATAAGGACTTCATTTATTCGACGTGAACTGATAAGCAGGACGAAACAAACTAGTTCGTGTCATGTATGTAAGTGCCGGGTGGCTCTAACAGGGTTCTGTCTAAAGCGTGCATCGCTCTTCCGTCATCGACGAGCCGACCGACCCGGCTTAGTATTAAAATAGGGAGCGAGGGCGAGAGCAGCAGTGGCAGCTCCGGGAAGTGTGAGGAGCAGAGTAAGGGCGCTGTCGTACCTGCGCGGCGGTGCTGGTTGCGCGGCGTGGCCTGCGCCCCGTGCTGGCCGTGTTGGCCGTGCGCCCCGTGGTGCGCCACGTTCTCGCGCGGTGGGGGCGGAGGCCCGCGCGCCCCCGGCCCGGGCAGTGGACCCGCGCCGCGACCCCGCCCCGCCCCGCGCCCAGCATTTGCGCCCGACGACATGCCCGCGACCCCTGCACCCAACACCAATGCTAATCCATCTAACCAGGTTGGACTCACTCAAAAAAGTCCTATTGAAAGCTTTTTATTCCATTGATTGTTCTGATTTATCCACATTAGAGCTGATTTCGTTCAAAATATTATGGCACAAATTTTCATCTATAAAACGAATGCCTACAAAGCGAATTAAATATAATTAGTACCCACCTTGATTGCCCTGGCCAGGTGCCCCATACTGGTCGTTTGCATCGGCGAGGAAGTTGCTCGGAACAAGGCCCCGGACACCGTCGATTTCAGCCATGTAGAATCCATCGTCATCCATGTCTCCGTACACGTGGATGATTTGACCCGTTTGGAAGCTCAGCTCAGCCTGAAAAGGTTTCTGAGTGACAAAAAATCAATTTTGAATGAAATGTAGAGTTGATAATACTACAATAGAGTAGGTACTAAAAGGATATGAAAGTTTAGAAATAGCATTTGTACATTAATATTAAGATAGTGTACAGAAAAGAATTGCAAGACAAGGAAAATGTAGAGACTTGACATAAACAGAAAACCAGAACATCATCAATAGGTAACGGGACAAAATACAATAGAGAGCAATTAAGCACAATATATCGAAATTTTAAGCTAAGAGGATCAATGGCAAAACATTCCTGAAGGTAATGGAGCAATAATAGATTGACAGGACAGTGTAGATCATTTAAAGCATTGTTTTAGTTGCTCACACATAAAAGTTAGTGGCAAAACCAAAGAAGCTGGTCAACTCACCAATGAGTTATATCCACGAAGTTGTCATAATTTTCTCGAAACAACGTCTAGAGTGATTATGGATATAAATAAAAGAAATGGCAGCCTATGTTTTTGGCTCCGAAATCGAATGCACGTGTATGGAGTCTATAGCTAAATATTCTATTTATAATATATATTTATTAAGTGTGGAAGAAAGGGAAGAAAAAGTATACTTACATCTGCATCCACATTGGGACTAAGCTCCTGAGGGTCATAGTCGTAGAGTGCGACCATGCGTCTTACTGGCTGGTTGGCGTAGGCGTCAGCCCAGCGATCTCGCTTGGGTGGCTGGCCAGTGACTTCTTGTTCCGACACTTCCATCACCATGTTGTGGGGCACGTAGCCTCGGCGACCTCTGCACTCGCCCCAGTAAAAACCATCGCCATCTTTGTCACCCCAAACCTGAGAAATTTAATAATTTTGCGTTACTCCAACTGATTTTGCAATCGTGAGTCTACATTCTTTGAAAACTTAGGCTTATAGACTATCTATAGTAAGATATTGATATCAGACAATTCATTTAATGATGATGCTATCAATATTTTCGAATGGCGATTCTGCTTACCTTAATAGTATCTCCTTCACTGAAGGGCAGTTCTTCGTCACAACTTTCAGGATTCGGGCTCATGGTAGTTGGGTCGTAGTCAAATAGGGCGATGAAGTAGCGGCTTCTCTTGGACTGAGGGTGGGCCTGCGCGTGCCTTGCGCCCGGCTGGGGCCCGCGGGGCCCTGGCGGTGGGCCCCCGCGAGCTGTGTACTGCATTCCGCTGCCTTGCTGGTTCTGTTGCTGTTGCTGCTGCTGTTGTTGTTGTTGTTGTTGCTGTTGTTGCTGCTGAAGGTTATAACAATTTTCTCGTTAAAGCTACACGATATCATTTTGCATTCAAGATTTTTTATTTTTTACAGTAACGGGGATAGATTATTTTATTGAATAGAGATAAAGGGGTTGTCTAAAAAGTAATAGAATGGTATGCATGCCTGCTCGTTGTGATGTCCGACCTGGTGAGGGTTAGGAGGGCGGCCTCGCTCGTGGTGGTTGCGGGGAGGAGGGTTCTGGTACTGCTGCGGCGCGCCGGGGCCCCCGCCCGCCCCGGGGTACGCCTGGTTACTTTGGAACTGGCCGGCTGGTGGATATTGGGGTTGCTGCGTGCCATGGTAGGCTTGTGTACTCGGGTACGGCTGACCCGATTGCTGCTGCGACGCTTGCGTTGGTTGGGACGGTTGCTGCTGACGTCCGTACGAACCAACACATTAATAAGGTTAGATTTTCCATAACAAAGCCAACAGCAATCCAACAAGCTCATAGCCATTATCCTCAGTGGCATTGCGTCTCAAAGCGATATAAATATTACCTTTTCCTCGGACGATAAGAAAAACAAGACATTCCGTTGTAGCTCTAGTCAACCCCCATGCACAACGAAAGCTAGCGTGCAGCGCTTACACTTGAAACCACATCATTCATAGCAGATATAATTATAAACAGTCGGTTCCAAATGTGCTTGTCACAAGTTTTACAAAACAAAAGTTAAATTGAACTTCAACAGTAACGGAAGGTCGTTGGTCAACCGATGTCCCCTCGTAAACCGAATACCTGATCTGTTACCATAGACACTGGAGTGTGGGAGGTGTGTGAGAGGAGTGAGTGTACGGCATGGATACGCGTCGAAGCCAAGACAGCATGCAGGAACAATATACAAACACGCGCGGAACATGCTCCAGTGTGGGGTCTGTATCGAGTGCTCTGTGCCTACTGCCTAGTTCCTCCTGTCTGTCGGACGCGTGTGTGGCGGACCAGTGTGGTGTGTGACGAACATCGAGGACGGTACATAGTGAAGATGACAACACAGAACACCGAGAAGTGAAACTCAGAAAGTCGTGATCGGGAGATCGTACAGAATTGAGAGAAAGAGAGCATAGTGAATAGTGCTAGCACATGGAGAGCACATCGATGGCTAGGAGAGATCGCAGACCTGCGGGCGGCGGCGCGTCGCCTCCTCGTCCTCGCTACCCAGCTCCGTCGCGCTCTCTTTAGTGATTTCGATGGCCGGTATCCCCGATTGCTAATACCACACGGTCATTCAATATTTTAGCATATACACAGTTGTTTAGTAGCGACACAAAATATAGTGAGGAATGGTTGTGCTGATATGAGCGATATTGATGGCTATGGTGCTCGCAATATACCGACATGTTCTTGCTCCGTACTCTGTGTGGGTACTTCTCTTGAGATTACTTCATTACTTTGTAAGCAAACAGGAGTACACGATATACGGAAAGTTTAAGCGGTTCAGTAGAAGCTGCTCAAGAGTGACTTACATAGTTAGTTATTACCACAAGTTAATATATCAGGCGGTAGAGCAAGTGAAGCCTGTACAGGAAGCTGAAGTGGAAAATAGAAGTTCACTGCCGTGTAAGCGGTCGGCTTTCATTCGACGTGATTCGAACCTAAGTACCAAGGCGCGCGAATGTTTAGTATCTTCACGTTCGGTTACATTTGATGATGTGTTTAATGTCCACCGCCCGAATACTAAAACGCTTCGCTGTCGACACTTAAATATCTCGTGCTGTCTCAGTCACCGCTAGCTATGTGGGAGCCCCGCGCTCCGTAAAGTTCGATGGCGTTTGAATATTTGGGCTCATGAGTGATGTATTCATGTCTATGAGTCGTGAACTGTAATGAAAAATCTTTGAACGCAATAACTTGAATCGACCACACCTAAGTTATAATATTAAGTGGTTTATATTTAATAGCAGTATTGTAAAGGAACCCTTTCTATTGAAGCTATTGTTTACTTGTCGTTACTCTATGAATGTATCTTGAACTGCTAAACAGTATTTCGATTCCAAAAGTTAATCTTCTTTATAAATATATATGCATTTAGTTAGCTAGGATACTTGTTTTCTACATATTTTTGGCTACTTTCAGATAAATATAAAAGCATACTCAAAGTAAATATTGTCTTCATATGCTGATTATATGGCTACAATATTGTATTATGACACTATTTGTATATATACGGGCACACTGTGTTATAATAAAATATTCAATCAAAATAATTAAAAAGAAAAGTATTTTACATAACTAATAACAAAAAAATAACGCTTCAAAAACTAAAATAAAATTTCATAGAACGCTAAATAAAACAGTCGTGTGTAAGTTGGAGAATTAAATAAATAATGATAAATATGAAAAGACGTGTTAAAATTCCTTACCGAAGGGGTTATTTTGTCGAATATACTCTTTAGGAGGCCTGTGCCGAATCCACTCGTAGGCTATGGAAAGGTGTATAACAGTTATGTGAGAGAGCGAGGTAAGGTTACACTAAGTGGCATGATCACAACTCATGGGCGGTATTGTCTGTGTCACAAAGTACAACCTTTTTATCTGTTCTAAGTTGTATTTGTATGGTGTCGTGCGTTGTCGGGTATCGGCCAATAGCTCTAGAGACTACGGATCTAGTCGCAAGCAGTATGCATTTAATTTTGAACGATCGAGCCGAGTGCATAGCTAGAGTCGATGGCGCGGTGGTCGTGTCGTGAAACCGTCGGCAGAGAACTAAATACTGGACATTTAGAAGATGCCAGCGACAGAACCACAGGAGATAGTATAAAGAGTGCAGTTTGCAACACCGATGTCGCGCGACGAACTGACTGCACGCGCGAACTGAGCTCTCATACTCAACGTTACTGGACTAACTCTGAGGGCAATCGAGGCGAACCAGTCGCAGGAACAGACAGTTTGTCGCGCAAGAAGAGAGCATAATATGACACTGATCTTTATAATGATAGCTAAGAAGACACAGACGAAGAAAATTATCAGAGTTAAAATGAAAAATATAAAGCACATATTAAATACTTAATCAACGTCTCAACGAAATAAACTGGCAAAATGAAACTTGACGTTACACACAAATGTACAACATTGATTTGCAAACCAAATAGACAAAGGCTATGCCGATCAACATTTATCTCAACACATTATAGTAATTTACAGTTCAAGTTTAACGATTTAGACAAAGTTTCAAAATTCCAATTCTGGTAGCAAAACAAAATTCAATAAATGTGTGAAATATAGAAAACTATGAAAGTAATATTTTTGGAAATTTAAAAATTGTATTTATAGCCAATTCGATGGGACAGAGAATTCATTGTATTAGACATAGCGAGATATAATTACAAACATGTTAAGGGACAACAGATAGTATAGATGGAAGTGTTTGATCACCTGAGCTGCGTGCGGGTCGTGTCGGTTAGCAGATGGGAATATCTCCTTATCGGAGAGATTCTCATCGTGCTCTATAACTTGCTGGTGGTGCTGGTAGGGCTGGGGGCGCTGCACGGGGCCGCCCCTGTACCCCACGGGGCCCGGCTGGTTGGGCCCGGGGCCCGGCCCTCGGGGCATGCGCGTCGCTACACCGCGCAGTACCGCGGGCGGTATCGGCGTCGGCGCACTGTCACTAGACTGACTGTCTCGAGACTTTGTACGTACCTGGAAACAACAAGATTGCCGTCATAATAAAATCGTTTAGTTTCCCAACACAAATGTAAACAATTAGATAAACGTCACCATATATCTATTTGCTAACATAGCGTTCACATAGCCAAATGAAGCTCCATACAGCCATACTCACGGTGACACATTTAGGATTGAGGCCGATCAGTTTGCCAATGTCGATGAGAGCGTGGTCACCGGTTGGAGAATCCACGTCGGTCACCTTCTTGCCATCGGCGTACACAGCGTACCCAGTGACCGGGCCCGAGGCGGGCGGGCGCAGGACTGGCTGCCAAGTCACCAGCAGGGTCCCGTCCTGAGGTCCCGCTTCCACCTGCGACACCGCACCAATCACCACCAACAATCCAGCCAACAAACGTGAGGCAAGCCAATTGGGTTCCAACTTTGTTAACATGTGGGCCAACGTTGAACTAAGCCACATCGAGGGAGTAGCTGACATTACAAATAGGGGTCGCTAAGCTAACAACGAGGTGAGCGTTGGGATATGTCAACATAATTTTCCTGGAGCTGGATTTATGGTTGCGATTGACGCGACTTCCTCGAGACGTGCTGTGTGCTTTGAGGTTGTGAATTATTTGAAAGGAATAGAGGTGTATCAGTCGGACTCTGTGAGTTTCGTAATGTATCATCACACTGTCGTGGAGCATTGGAAAGCTACCTCGTGCGTGCTAAAAACGCTCTCATAGTTACTCTCATGAAAAGCATTATTTGATTTTATTATTCTATTAACGTATAATTTTCCACTATCCACTGTGTGATGGGTATAATTCTGGTTCCTGACTAAATAGATACATATAACATCAGCGAGCAAGGATTGTGAGTGTAAGATGTAGGTATAGTTTGGATCCAAAAAGCATGCTCAGTTCACGTCATGCTGACTCTTGGAGTTTATACTATTCACATACCATAATTTCATTTGGTGGATCCGGCAGTCCCTTGGGCAGAGTCCTGAAGTCTGTGTAAGCTCCTGGAGCCTCCTCGATTGGAATCCCAGACTGTGGAGGACCAGCTCTTAAATGCTTAGCCCTTACGGTTACCCGATACTGTGTGCTTGGTGATAAACCTGTGATAGTATGACGGTACACCCCCGGTTTCACTGTTCGAACCTGTAATCAACGTTACCTTGTGTAGTCCGATCTTTAGACCTTGAAATGTCTGTACATGTATATTTCACCTCAACAAGTGCTTACTTCAACATTATTAACACAGACGACGTGTTGGTGGTTGGAGTTAGCAGGCAGCCAAGAGATCACCGCCTGGGAGCAGGTCACTCCGCTGGCCCTGACACACGTAGGGCCCATGTTGGCTGTGTCTCTACCGATGACCATTGTGCAAGCTGCGTCTCTCGATGTGCGCCGCGATACTGTCACCGACCGCACGCTAATGCGATGCGGCTTTTGGAAGAAAAGTATACAATGATACTGGTGAAACTTGTAAACGTAAATAATTCGAATATAAAACATCATCTAAAAGCAACAATGACATCGAAGACAATCTAAATGAATTTGTGCTCATTTGTAACATGTAAAAAGACTACCGTCAAAACATAAATTAGCAGCTAATTTAATATCGAAACAAGCTCACCCGATTCGAGTCTACTCCTTCTACAAGTGCTCGAGTGCGTTCCGAGGCCTTGACAGTCGTCTTGAGGACCCCGTCGACGTAAACGTGGTAGCTCTCGATGTTGGCTTGCTGCACTCCCTCAGGAGCAGTCCAGCCGATGAGCACGGACTTGTTGAGCTGCCTCTCCAGGGTGAGCTGCCGCGGCGCTGGCACTAGCGACGAGAAAAACAGCTCGGCTGTTGAGGTTCCGAGGGTAGATCGCGAGGAGTGCGGCCAGGCAGGCGAAGTGCGTGAGAATGCGAAGAAGCGTGCAGCGAAGTCCAGGGATAGGGAAGGGGAGGGATAAAGGTTCGACTATAGAACTATTTCTAGAAAAATGATCGTTAACTGAGACCGCCATAGGTCGTTTGTGTAGCGTTGAGTTTGAATCAGTGTGCCAAGCATCATGATCGTTTGGAACTATTATGGTACTTTAGGTGCTCGATGCGTTTGGATTGCATGCGTATGTTAAACTTCACTCTTATAAAGATGACGTTAAATTGTGGTTGAGTTACGCTAAAGTTTTACTTCTATAGCTAGACTTGTTTCTATAATATCATACTCTAGTAAAATATTTCAGAATGATAGCTAGATTTTAACGCTGTCTAACCTATACTATGTTCTATGTTTGGTGCCAATTGTATCTATGTATGGAGTATCATGTGTGAATGCTTACCATTGTCGTCGTCTTCGGCTCCATCGCTTAATTCAGCAACTTCGCTTAATCGAGCGACATCACGACTGATAGACAGTTCGCTTATCGCTGTAGTTGCTTCATCGACATCTCGCAATGTCGACACAATCGCCTGATGGTAAAGAGGAGACTTTTATAATTATGTGGCAATATCAAGCTTTATTGAAAAACTAAATTGTAGTATTATTATACTAGAAAATTAGAGATTATTAAAACCTCCAAATGAGCTGGAATTAAGATTTAAGAAACAATCTATGTTTCACCTGATGGAATTCCAACAAGTCGTCCCCAATCAACCTTTGGACGAAGTTGGCGGGTACCAAGCCGCGGCGTCCGTCCAATAATTCGGCGTCAAGCATTGATGCATTTGGGTCTGGAGGACCCCATACTAGTAAATAGTCTCCAGCACTTATCGACAATTCACCTTCCGCGCTCTCAATCCTAAAAATAATCAATCATAATGACATTTTCAATTTGAAGCTATTTCTGAGCTCAAGTAAGCTCCATACTTACTCAGGAGGGTCGTACGAGAAGCGAGCGATGTACACACAACAACGACCCTTCCCCGGTATATCCAACATGTCAACTGTCTCTGTGGCGCCATTCATGTAATGTGATGAATTACGAACTGAAACATGTGCACCACTGAAAACGTTTTCCTTTTATAAAGAACACGAACAAAATTGAATTTCACTCACCTTCCAAATCCATGCCGGTGTTAGGCATAATCCGCGCGATAGCTCGTTGGTTCCGATCGTGGCTGAAGCCGGAGTCTAAGCCTAGTCTATCAGTTGCAAATTGGCTATCTAAACCTAAATTCCAGGTGGGCTGGTGAGGTGTGACCGGCGTGGCCACCCGCCCCACTCCCGCCGTGTTCGCATATCTACTGATACCGAGGTCTATATCATCTAGAGGTTTAAGTTTTATATTCATAGGATTTGTTCCGAGTCCGCCGGAGAGGAGGGGATTTGTGTACGTCCCTGTCCCAGTTCCGTAAGCGCTCGTAGCGCCTAAACTCGTGTTAAGCCCTCCGAGTTGCGTTCCAGTCAAGTTCGAGAGAGCATTTCCTAACCCACTAGTTAACGTCGACGGGAGTCCACCCAACGTACTCGTCAGCCCGCCTGATAAATTGGTTTGCGCATTGTTTAAACAGCTAGTTAAACCCGAGCCCGATATAGTCCCCGTCATGCCGGGAGCCATGCCCGTGCCCAGGTTCAGAGACGTCACATTACCGGTTAAGTTTTGTAAGTTACTCTGTAGTCCAGCTAGTGTGCTTGAAATTTGACCGATATTGTTGACGAGTGGTGCCGTGACGGGGTTGGTGAAGGTGACTTGGTGGGTGTTGGGGAGGCCGTAGGTATTAGAGTAGGCGGACACGGGGTTCGAGTAAGACGTGGGGTTGTGCGCGCTCATGGAGTATGCGACGGAGTTGGAGCTGGGGGCCGTGAACTGGCCGGTCGCGTGGAGCGAGGACAGCGTGGGCATAGTGCTGCTCTGGCAGATGGCGGCGTGGCCTGCCGAGCTGCCGTACGAGTGGGGCAGGGGTGATGGTGTTGGGGAGTGATACTCCCCTAACGCCTGGTTTGACCCACTTGATTGGATACCTGACAAATAATAAGATGCTTAAATATTACTTTTATCGCTATTTCATCTTTGAAAAATAATTCAAGAGCTGCTGCTGACTGGCTAACGTACCATGCGTGGTAGACCTAGTATGTTCAAGCTCAGCTAGGATGCGGTTGTCCTGCTCGATTTTAGCCATGATGCGCTCGATCTCGGAGGCTGGTTGTGCGGACTGGTTAGACCACGTGGTGACGCCGCCCTGGCCACGCGCGCGCAATGCTGCTGACAGTTCTAGTTGAAGCTCTTCGCACCGTACTGTCTCTAAGGCAGCCTGAAAATAATCTTGCTTCAGTTTCTCTCTCAGATAATAATAATGCCACTGATTTTTCTTTTGACGAGTAAATACCTACACTTTTCTTTTCTCGACCTCGTTGGGGCGAAAGGGAATGTCAGCCGCTTACTGACTAAAAATGTCTTAAAATTTAAACAGCAGTTTTCTAAATAAAGGAAGTCATATGAAACTACTTAACATATTTACTGTCTATAAACATAGTTTAAAAAGCCATGAGTCATGTGATTGAGAAAAGCGTAATACTAGCGTAGCTAAGAAGTATAAGTTACCTTCTTCTCAAGTTCCCTGGCTCTGGATTGTAGTTGTTCGACGTTGTGCTGGTCGATGGGGGACCGTTGCGCGGCGCGGAGCTGGGCCAGCGCGTCAGCATGCGCCCGCTCAGCATCCGCGCGAGCCCGCTCCGCATCCCTCAGTCGCCGGGCAAGCGCGTCTGTGTCCCCACTCCCCGACATACTTGTGCCGTACCCACTCATTTTCTGTCAACAAGCAAAGGTTTTTGATAAATTATAACTAAAATTTCATCATTATTTCATCAGCTTTCACTTTTGTATGTAGGATTTAGTAGGCGAAATAATAGATGATAAAAGTAAAACGTTATAAAGGCAAAGTTAAACAGATCTGTTTTTTTTTTTGTAATGTAAGAGATAGAACTCTTGTGGACTACGAGATCTTCATTGCCAACTTAAAGATTGATTAAATTAAATAAATATTACTTTATAACGTAGTTTTACCTTAAATATTACGTGACTATCACAAAAAAGTTTACGTGTCTAAATAAAACTCCCGCCTTTTTTAACTATTGAAAATGTCATATTTTTATCCTTCCTAATTTAAATGTATCTGGCCAGTGTGTACCTACAATATACAATGTAGGAACACCTTATTTGATAGAAAATAAGAAGCAAATTACCAAGGAGTTGTACAGCTAGGTAACAAAAGAGGTTGATCACTACTTTTTTCAGTTATTACGACAACTTTTTGCTTTTTGTTCAGATCTATCTTTTTGAATATCGATGGTTATTTTATATTATTTACCTTATGTACAATACAATACCAACCTATTAAAACAACTAAGTGTAAAGAACCTTAATCCTATAAACCAGCATTTAAAAAGTATAACTCGTAGCTGTGCTACGCAGCTTTCGTAGCGACGTAGTAATCTCGTAGCAGCTTCGTAAGTCCAATAAGGACTTCCTTAGGTACATATCATACATCCTTAGGAAAGAACAAACCACGTTGTGGACCTGGACTGCTATCTATATCTTAGTAATTATCAATAGTTCGTTGGACTGTTAGACTTTTGGCTTTCCACATAAAAGGACCATAATATCCTTAGGCAACGGGCGAAGACGAGTTTTAAAGATTCAGGATTACCAGAGCAGGTTGCTGTTGAATCTATTGGTTAGTGAAATAGAATAGTGGATTCATTTTTGTAAATAACAATAAACTTAATGTGGCTAACTATTCTGAGAAGATATGGTGAAAAAACTCAAGAGATCTGTTTCTTTAAGAGTCCAGACTCAAATACTCATGTATGTGTCAAATCTATCGTCTGCCGAAACGACACTGTTTTGGACGTGATATAAGCACTACCGTGTAATCGAAACGGGCCATTAGTATTAATTTAATACGAGTTAATAAACTTTCAAAAAGTATTTATTAAATTATTCGAAAACTACTACTAACAACGGGCGATAAGTTGTAAAACATTTATCGAGCAGACTAGAGGGGAATATTTTATCGATTTTATGTTAAATTCGAGTCGATTGCGATGCTGCCCTTCATGGCTATTGACGTCACTCGATAACTCGACATAGGTACCTATCGATATTCGATGGGCAGACGATAATCGCAACACTTTAGCGGCGATGTATTATAAATAGGTATTATTAAAATATACATATAATATATTTTTACGAATTTTTAATGTAAGTCGTTTCCAGTCTGGAAATCATTGGAGAAGGTCTCAACTCAATTGTAAAAGTTTTGTAGGACGTATAGTTGATTTTTGGAAAATTCGATGTTTTCTGTGTATTTTGTCACATTTGGACTTGTTGTCTGTGATCCTAAGCTGACACTTACTATCACTAACATCTTTAGATAATCACACATTATTTAACTACTAATTGTTAATACTTATTAGCTTAGTTAGTGACAGCAAGCAAGTTAAAACAAGCAAATTTCTTAAATTAAAAAGCTTTTTACTAATAGTAAGAAAGAACATACTTTTGTATAATTTATAACATAATTTGTTTCAATTATAATTACCATTCTATAGTGACAACACCAGACCCTTAATTATAAAAGAAAAATCAAATGGATAGTATCCACCAAATTAATATAACGACTCAAAAATTTACATTAAATCGACATCGTACAATTAATATCAAGTAAAAAAGGTCAAGTAAGTAATATCGATTATTTCGAACAACCCTAGTTACCGTGCTAGGCTGAATGAATAACTAAATATTGGGCTCTGAGGCCCACATGACCTTGAGCCGTTGCCTAATGAATAGGACCCAAACATGGCGCGACGGATGATTTTATGCAAGATTGATTAAGTAAGCCCTTACTTGCCCAATGTGGATGGCATTATGTTGTCCAGTCAATCAGGTTGCTTATATTTTTTTTTATAATGTAGTATTTATTTGCAAATGTATTTTTGGAACGTTAGATTAATTTTCGTGGTGTATTTATTATTCGTAACCTTTTTAGGAGATACGTTTTTTTTTCTCTCAGAAAAAAATATGTAGATTACATGTCCATTTTACCCTTTTTAGAAGTAGTTTTTTTGTGTAGTTATTTTGAATTTTATTTTAAACTTCATGTTTAGTTTTATTTTAGTAATATTTTAAACTTCATGATTAGCTGCCCGTGTTGTTTGATAGGCGTGAATTTCTTTTTATGATCTTGTAGCACATTCTGATATTATTTGAGTGAAGATACAATAATTCTGTCGCTTAAAGTTCGCTAACACGCCAAAGCCCAACGAACGCGTTGTCTCACTTCAAGCAACCCTGTCGTACCAAAGTATGGGTCGTCCACGTGTAAAATGTTGCGTGTATTACTTATCAAAATTATCAATTGTAACTGACTCTGTGTTTTATCATGTTTAATATTTCTGTGTGCTATCAACAGATTGTCCACCCCATATTACAAGTATCTTATCATGAGGATAAATGGGCAATGGAATAGGGACTTGTAAAGGATAATTTTGGGAATTTTTGCTAACATACTGATTAGATTGATTTTAGTATTCATGTGTGACGTTTTTAGCCTATAGCATTCGTCATTAAATTGATTATTCAACAAAATTTCCCAAGTCATAATTAAATTATTTTAACTTTTCAATAGTAAATTATTAAAATGTATAGACTTAATTCTAGCATACTTATTTAAAAAAATAAGTAAGTATGCTATTTGTCGTTAATATATCATGATGTCTTAATAATATGTTCTCAGGATCTCATACAAATTTCATAGAAAAGTATCGACATTTCAATAAAAGTATTGAATTTGATTAATTGGAAACAACCGGATTCTGAAGACTAGAGCAGTCAAGCAAAGAAACAAAAAAAACTGACAACGCATTTATTAAAACCGCTTAACGACAGCTACAAAACACATCGCATCATACAAAAAAAAAATCCTAATAAAAACACTAAATAAATAATTACCAGAAAATAAAAAGTGGGGCCAATAAAATACTTGAACACAAAAGTAATTTAGAGTCGTTGTTTACGCGTCGCGTCGTGTGTGCGCGCCCTAGGCACGGAAGGACGCATGGTTTCGACCGGGCGCCCGACGTCGCCCTGTCTCCCGCCGCGCTACGCCATAAGACGGCAAAGTGCGCTGACCTGATTCGATTCCCCCCTTTGCCCCCACTACATCCCAGACTCCTTGGCAAGGAAATTGGGCACATGGTCCGCCTACTCCCGCTCTCACGGGCATTATTCTGGTCAATTCTACTCGCTTGCCGCCTGCTATTGTACCTCTCTGGTTGTTTTAATAGAATATTTTTATATTGTATGTATGGAGTGTATTTTTTATTCACTTTTTTAAGATTTTTGATGTTTTTTATTTATTAGTTTTTTATGAACATAATCGATTTTTTATTCACCAGAAACAGCATAGAACCACGTGGTCCGTCATTAAGATGTGACTTAATTTTTTTTACTCGATAATTATAGATGTTGATTTCCCAATAATTAATAAAATTGTTTGGTTAATTTAAGCAATTTTTTCCCATGATTTCATCTGAGTACCTTCACTTCTTTCAAACGGCGTTGCGTGAATGTTAGATTTAGGGCGGGTTTCACCTTAGCCATTATGTACCAGATAAAAATGAATATAAGACGTAATTTTTATGAAATACAATTATTGAATAAAAATTGGAAAAATCTGCCAAAATCATCAAATTAACCTACATGATTACAAATAAGCTTTTCTCAAGCACAAGCCTATGCGTTATTTCAGACTAAAATATTACTCTATGGCAATTTTTACGTGACAGAGTAACAAACCTCCATACTGTCAAACCCTCGCGTCTATCACACTAGTAGGATAGTAGATTTCGTTCTTCATTTAGTAAGAGCTCGTTTTAAGATAAAAATAATCGACTACAATGTGAAATCTCAGCATAGTAACACCAGTAAGTATATATACTACATCAGATAGACGGGTCGGTAGCCAGTCAGTGTAAATTTCAGGACTCCTCTCCTTGGCAATCCGCCATATCTTGTGATTGGGTGCGGTATACTTCAGTGATCTATGGAGGCTGTGTGTAACTATACTTACTTATTGTGTAATTAAGTAAACCTACTCAGATAACTCCGTTGGATTTGTAATTGGGAACTAAGGTCATTCATTTGGTCTGTAGATTATAAAGTTTATTTAAGCTATTTCTTTAATAATAATAACATACTGCGAAGGGAAACATCCTAAGGAATCCTGGACTTTGAAATTATAAGTTTGAGATCGCCAATCCGCTTTCAGCAAGAGAAATGATTAATATTCAAACCTTCTCCGTGTGAAGTGTCGTCTTTTACTCAGCAGTAAGCACTTATAGGCTAATGATATGCAAGCAATTTCTTATCGAATTTAACATTTATTTCTAGTTTTATTAGCTTTTGAAAATCATCCACATTATCATCAACTGAAAGACGTCCACTGCTGAACAAAGGCGTTCCATTTTGGGGGGGAGGAAGGTGTCATAATCCCCACGTTTAGCAGGCACCTTGGGGATCACAGTTTAGTCACAGATATATGATTATGGAATGCTGCTGCCCATTTCTCGATGTCTGTGGTTGCTAATCTCTGTGCCAAATTTCATTCGAATCCATTCAGTAGTTTTTACGTTACATAGTTACAAATATCGATCTCGAAGTCTCGATCCATCCATACTTTGAAACTTTTACGTTTATAATATAAGTAGGATATTTGACGAGTTCCCTATTTTAGAACCTCTTAGTTGGCA